AATGGAGGTTGGATGAAAAACTAGATAGGAAGATTAAATGGTGGTAGTGACCTGACTCCGGGAGGCAGTGGAAGACAGGAGGGCCTGGTCCATGGGGTCATGAAGAGTCGGACACGACTTGACTAAACAACAACAAGGTGGTGGCTGCAAAAACCACACTGTTTTCAGGTTCCTTTTGGGGCTGGAGACAGGGGGCATCAGCTGCAGTAGCTGCAAAGCCACCCTTTTGTTAGGTGGGGATTCAGGAGGATTGAGGGGGCATGCCTTCTTTACAGTCCAGGGTTGGAAGGAGTAATCGGTCGGTGTGTGTGTGTGTGTGTGTGTGTGTGTGTGTGTGTGTGTGTGTGTGTGTGTGTGTGTGTGTGTGTGTGTGTGTGTGTGTGTGTGTGTGTGTGTGTGCGTGCGCGCGCACGTGCAGGTGGCTGTAAACTTGCTTCCCCTCCACCCTCTAGATCACATGGGGGGAAGCAAACAGGAGCTTTTTACAGTGTTGCCTAAAGCAAAAGAGGGGGGTGGAAAGGGAGATTGTATTCCTCAAAAATGCAGTCGCCAATCATCTGAACATCCATAAAATGTTGTTGATTAATTAAAGGAATCTCAAGAAAGTCATAGAAAAATGTTTTGATTAGGTGACACTTCTACAAAGAATCATCTTGCTTACCTTCTGTAGAGGTGTCACCTAATCAAAATTAATCATCATCATCTCACAAATGTTCAGATGAATAAAGACTGTAATTCTGAGGAATAAAATTCCCTCCAAGAAAGCACCGCAATCCCACACCCACACCCCCATCTCTGCCACTGCTTAATCCACTGGCCCACTGGCCAACCAGTGGCTCCTTTTATCTTTCAATGGACCTCACCCTGGCCTTCCTTCTCTTATGAGATTAAAAGGCAGCAGTGGGAAGTGAATGACTTCCAAAATGAAAACACAACCTGCATTGTCCAATTCTTTCTTGCTGCAAATATTTTTACAAAACTGTCAACCCAGTGCTGTTTGGAAATGGTCGGACTGTGACTCTGGCCAATCTCAGTTAGAACGGGCACTGGTCAGAGAAGACAGGAACAGTAATGCAGCAAGATCTGGAGGGTCCCACGTTAGGAAAAGATGTTGTAAACTCTTCTCAGCTCAGCTGTTTGGTTTTGTTCTGCTTTCTCCCTAGGCACTACAGTTGTCCAAAGCAATTGCTGGCCACTTAAGACTAACAACAGCAGGTTGTTCACATTTGAATCCGCTCAACTAACTCCAGCAAGAAATCACAAGCCTGTCATTTCCACTCTAGTCCCATCCGTGCCTCCTTAAACATGCTTTGGCTCTTTACCTCATCAGAGCCATCAGCACAGTCATGGTCCCCATCACACTTCCAGCGGCCTGCAATGCACCGCCCGTTGGCGCAGGAGAACTCGCTTTCGGAACAAGGCCTGGGCTCTGTAGGCAGAGGGAAGGCAAGACAGGTGAGCCGGAAGAGCACGGGATGGAAAAGCGTTTATAACAACTGTACAATCTAGGGATTACAGGCGGTCGCTGTCCCCCAGGGCATCACTGGGCAAGAGCCCAAGCAGTCTTGTACTGACAAAGATCCACACTCTGGATTTCCGACACAACCAGGAAAAGAGGACACAGGAGAAGCCACAGAGGGGCTGAAGGGAGGGCGGGGCAAAGGGGAGAAGAAGGGCTACACACAGAGAATGGTTTCTAGCTGCAGCAAACCCCACTGTCTAGCTCAGCAGCATCCCAGGGATCCCGCCTTGACTGTGAATCCCAGCTGTGGAAAATACGAGACTTGCTTGTTCGCCAGCTAAAGCAGCATCTTAAATTAAATTCTTGGAAGGGAACCCAAGGGTTGTCCAGTCATTTTGGCTTGTCCCATGCAAATTTGCAGTGTGTGGGGGGGAGCAAAAGACAGAGGAGCAGGAGGGTAAGAGCCTGCTCACGGCAGTCAGGTATGAGAAGTTACATCGGTATCAAATGCAAGGCTGCTGCAGCAAAAAAAATTGGCAGCTACCGTGAACAGCTGTTGCTCCCTTTCTCTCTTTCCCCTGTAATATCAACAAGGTTCTCCCCGAATCTAGAGCCTTCACATGCGCTAGACCGGTGGTTCTTAACCTTTGTTACTCGGATGTTTTTGAACTGCAACTCTCAGAAACCCCAGCCAGTACAGTTGGTGGTGAAGGCTTCTGGGAGTTGCAGTCCAAAACTCCTGAGTAACCCAAGGTTAAGAACCAGTGAACTACAGTATTTGTACTACTTATTTCATCCATTGATTGGAAAGTTTATATGGCAAATGAATGGCAGCCAAAGACCAGCACCCATCAACTCTGATGTTCTAAATCAGTGGTTCTTAACCTTTGTTACTCAGATGTTTTTGAACTGCAACTCCCAGAAACCCCAGCCAGCACAGTTGGTGGTGAAGGCTTCTGGGAGTTGCAGTCCAAAACTCCTGAGTAACCCAAGGTTAAGAACCAGTGCGCTAGACTACAACTTCTATCAGCCCCAGCTAGCAAAGTCGACCTGGATCAAAATGAACAGACATCAGACTCTTTGGAACTATATTGGATTTTTTTTTTTGAGAGAGAGAGAGAGAACACTGAGAACCATCAACAACAGCCAGGGACAAAATCTCAAAGAACAATGCCAGAGGGGCACCCTTTATACAGTAGTCTGGAAAAGAGTGCCTGTTCAGCCTAAGCATTTGCAAGCTTAAGAAAAACATTCACCATGTTTTAACACAACATTAATTCCCAGCTTTTCCCCCAGCGGTCTTTGCTTTATTCATAATTTATTTATTTATTTAAAATATTTTTATCCTGCCTTTCTTCTTAAAAAGAAACCAAGGCAGCTTTAAGCAGCCTGATTCTGACTAATTCAAGCAGTAGGCATTGGAAGAGATGCCACTACCCCTTGGCCTAATCTATTGGGAACCACACAGAGATCTAACAGGGAACCAAAGTCTACCTTCTGCCCAACCTAAATGTAGGGAGCTTTAATGTAGGATGTGATATAACCATGTCACCTGTTTCACACTTTCACAGCTCAACTAGCTGTCATTATGGACGGAAGGAAAATCATCCCATAGATGCTATGCTCCGAATATTGTGGGGGGAGGGAGGAGACATACAGATGCCATGTTCACCAGCAACTTCGTTTCTAATAAAGGCTGGCAGCCTTTGGGAAACATCATGACAACTGCCATGAACACAGAGGATGCTCTTATACAGAATCAGACCACTATGTCTGGCTCATTACTCTAAGCAATGCCTTTCTCTGAATTCTATTCCATCTCTATTTGGTAGCCACCTCTGTTCATGGCATTCTAAATGAGCTCCAGGTTTTCTCAAGAGCTGCCCCACCCAATGCCCAATGGCAGAGCAAGGCTCACAGGGGACAAACGGGATGTATTTCTGGAGCTTGGCACAGTTTTCTCCTTCAGTTTGTTTGGGTGGCCTCAGTTCGAAAACCGCCCTGTTCCTGAAAGGCAGGTGCAGCCATGACACCACACTAGAAGGAGAGAAGACGGGACCCAGACTAGATAGTCCTGCAAGAGGGGCTGGGAAGAGGGTCAGCCCACTGGGGGCAAAGTGAGCGTTCCATGCAGGATCCCACTCCATCCCATTCCTCGGCGGAGGCAGGGGATGGAGAAACAGTCCGGAAGGCAAAGCACGTCCCCAGGCCACTTTCCCCCGCTTTCAACACAGGTAAGACTTTCAATGGGGAAGGAAAAATATATCTTGACAGAAACCTACCTCTGCAAGCCCCGATACGACAGTGTGAAAATGGAAAAAACATAAGATGAGGTGAAATGGCACAAACTCAAATTACACAACATGGTGTGTGTGTTGTTGTTGTTTTTAAAAAAACCCAAACCAAAGGAAGCAAACCGAAAGAAAGGTACACTCTAGATCCTACTTGAGGAAGGAAGAAAAGAGAGCGGGGAAACAAGGAGGAGAGTCAGCCATCTTAAAACTCCTAAATTTTTCCTGATCATCTAGCCTGACCTGCAGTTCCTTTGGCTTCTTGTGAGGTTGAAATATCCCCCTTGACTCTTGTCCTCTGGAAGTTTTTAACACTGGGCAGCTCTCTTTTGGGTAGCCTCTTATCCAGAATGGCTGATACCGAGCAATGGCACTTGATACTACTATTCAATTAAGAACAAACAGCGTCTGTCAGAAGCTCCATTCTCAAACTCGCTCCCCACATGGCCTGCAGATGCCCCTAACTGGGAATCTTTGGGACATCTTTGCCTCATACCGTGTGTACGCTATTCTTTTTACTACAACCCCGACAATGGTCCATTGTCAGCATAGCCAGTGGATGCCTATTCAGTCTCAGGAAGGATAAGGCAGATTTAAGCTAAGATAGATCATGTGTGGCTATACAAATCAAATTTAAGGGCTTAGAAGTGGAGCAGGCGTATCCTTGTTCGGCTTTGGATAACGTTTTCATCTAACAACCCTGGCATGGCTGACAGAGAGCTCTCCAATGTTTAGCACCTCTAGATAAATGGCTACAATTGGAGAGAAATACAATTTAGGCTGGCACATCATATGCTGTTCTTGGATTAACCCTACCCCAGGGTGCTCCTGCATTCACCTCCTCATTGGTTAACATGGTCAAATGGAGAAAGGGTATGGAAAGCTGGCAATTCCCTGCAGCTATTAAGGGCTGAAACAGGTGCAAAAATTGTTACAGAAGGAAAAGCAGGAAAACAGTTGACTCGGTCAGTCTTTGGGAATATGCTTTGCACCCTAAAGCAGGATTCTTCAAATTCTCCCCTCCCAAATCACATCAGAGTGAAAAAACACGCTGGCACCCTACCCTGCTACTCACACTCCTCAGTCTCTAGCTTATTCTAGTCTGAAGTTCATTTCCTGACCTCCTTCCATTGATGCAGGTGAACTGCAGTTTCAAAGCAGAAGGACACCTCAGGTGTGCAGTTTTCCTTGCCCCCTCCACACCAGCAAGACTCCTTTTGCTTCCACTCCCCATATGGGACTGAACAGAGATGGAAAACCAACACGCCATGCCCCTGCCTTCATGCAAACGTTCTGCAATCTAACATAGGAGGCACATACTACAGCTCTCCTCATCCGAGTTGTCTCCACAGTCATTGTCATAGTCGCACTGCCAGCGGCCAGGCACACAGCGATTGTTCTTGCAGCGGAACTGGTAGGGCTCGCAGGTTCGCTCGTCTGAAAAGGAAGGACCCAGAGATGGGAAGGGGAAGGAAGGGAAAAGGGGGGGGGGAGAATGAACAGCATCAGCGCCTGAAGGACAGCATCAAAAGAAAGCCATACATGCACCCAAGGACACAGAGAAGCCTCCCCACAAAGCCATGTTCTATGGGGCAACATGGAATAGGAACATTTAGGAAGACTCAAGATCTGAATCCATAAAATCTGCTGCTTTGCGAGAATCTCTGAGTTAATTTTAGCATGGCTACGACAGCACAGCCACCTGTAGCTCAATGACTGAGAGACAGAATATGTTATGTCCAGCTCCGTATTTCATTTTGTACATGTTCATCCAAACTGCATGTTGTTTGTATATATATGTATCTTTTAGGTGGGATAGCTCTTGTTCCATTCAGGAAAGAATGGATGATCAGTGATTAATCAAGGCTGCAACACATCAGGTCTCTGGGTCCCCAAAGAAGAAATCACTGAAGCCCTGACTGAACAGTTTGGATGTTATCTTGAGCAAAAAAGCTGGCAATCTTAAAGACCTCACATCTTTTTTTTTTTTTTTTGATAGGAGGTATGAGTAAATACATGGATTTCTGCAAGCAGTTTTCCTCGATACAATGCATCTTCTAGTTATTTTCATTCACACAGACATTTGATCCCTACTTCCCTTTAAGCACCTTGCAAAAATTCAGAGGTGTGACTAATCAAAGAATAACCACATCAGATGGCAATGGTTTGGAAATAGTTCAGCTTGCATTAAAATGTAAGCCAAACAAATTTTCCCCTATCCCTGATTTACATCTCTTCAGGTATCTTATAAATATTCTGCTTCGAAGCAAACAACTGCCACAGAGTTGAAGCCAGTCTCCCTGGCCTGTCTCAGCACAGCTAGGTAGCTGCCTGCACCATCAACTCACCACATTCTTCCTTGGGTTCATCCGAGCCATCCCCACAGTCGTCTTCGCCATCACATTTCCAGCGTGCTGGGATGCAGCGGCCTGAATCTTTGCACCGGAACTCATCCAGGCCACATCTCATTTGTGCTGGGAGAGCAGACAGAGAGAGGGAGAGGGAGAGAAATAGGTTCCACATGTTGGGAAGGTTACATGTCACTGGAGGCCAGCCACACTCGTCAGTCCCCATATGAAGATGCAATAACTTCAGCAGGTTGTCTTTCCCATCAAGAGCTGCTTGCAGATATCTCATGCAAACAACTTTGTGCCAAATAAATAATCTGCCACAGAACTTAGATCCTCTAGAAATTACATCTTCTCATTTGAAAAACAGAAATCCAATTGCTATATTGTCAAATGACTTTCAAACGTTTTAAGTTTGGAGAGCTCTTTTCAAATAATCCCTGTACAGTGTGCTCTGTGCTTGCCAAGTGATCCAGAGGTTTAGGATAGGAAAGCGAAGGAACTGAAGCCCCTAATAACCTCTCCGTACTTCCTTTGCTACCTCCAGCAAGGTTTCTCCATTCTGCTTCCCACTATCATCCTCCCTTCCCATTTACCCAGAACTGAAGAAACAGAGAACTTCTTATAAGCTTTCTGTGTCTCTTCATCCCTTCCCTGGAATGAAAATCTAACTTCTGCAAAACCTCTAATAACAAAATATCAAATACATTTACACAATTATGCAGAGTGGAAAACATTCTTCATAGTGTTTGGCAGGTGTGGAATTTGGGGATTTCTTTGAGGAAAATTAAAAAGAGCCGCCCATGAACCTGAGAACAAACCAAGCCCTAGCTAATTCTAGACAAGCAAGACAAAATTCTCAGACAGATCATTTGTACCTCCAAAGCTTCAAATATAAATTCAGTTTAGAATACATAAGTGGGACCAAATCCTTGTTGGGTTTGATGTGTGCACATGATTTTAACATTAAGTGAGTGGAAAGCCTCATTATTTGCTGACTTCTCCTTTTAACATCTCCTACATGTGTCTAAGTTGACCGAGGTGCAGTAGCCCGCTCATTTTCTCTAAGACGCGAAAGATAGCCAAATACACAAACACAGAGATGATCTGTTTCCCCCTTCTCATGCCACAGGCCTTTGAGCAGCCTCTCCTTACTGCAGTTGGCAGGTTCATCAGATCCGTCCACGCAGTCGTTGTCACGGTCACACACCCATACCCGTGGAATACAGCGTTTGGTGATGGCACACTGGAACTGGTTGGGGGCACAAGTCACCTCCGCTAAAAGAGAAATGGGGGACAACTCTTAAGGTTGAAAAACAAAAAAACAAGTAGGAGTCAACCAACATTCCCTATAAACTGTGCAGGTGCTCAGGCATGCGGTGCTTCATCGGGTGTGCACAGCCAACCCTGGGTGTTCCTGCCCCTTTGCTTCTGGTCATGACCAGAGACCCCATGCACAGGGGGCTAAACCATCACACAGCGCTCCAGAGAACTACAGGGAACGTTGGAGTCAACCCACATGTGGCTGGACAACAGCACTGGTTGCTAGCTGTGGTGTAGTTCTGCCGTTCAAGTGAACAAATGGGCATTGGGTATATAATTCTACACCCCCAGATTACCAATGTTCATCTTCCTTTTTTTCCCCTAAACCAAATTACAAAGCCTCAAGGTGATGAGAGAAAAATTTAACACCACATGAACAAACAAACTAAAAACAAAACAAAAAACAACAACTAGGGAATAGACCAAGCACACTTTCCAGGGATTGGGACTTATGTCTTCCACACAGTTCTTGATCATGAGAAGCAAAATGAATTATACCTAGGTTATTTCAGTCTCTCTTTGTAGAACACTATTTACAGGTAGCAAAATTCCACTTTTTTGGTGTAGAACTTTGGTTACCCAAGGGCTGAATCATCAACATTTTTAACCAAAATGATCTGCATCCCTTCCAGTCCAAGTCAAACACCTGGATGGAAGATGTCCAGGTTTCCCGGGCCTGCCAGGAAGGACACCGACTACTGAGAGCAGAAGGGAAAGGGGGGCCCTCCTCCTGTCCCAGGCACAACTTACGGCAGTCCTTCTCGTCCTCCCCATCGCCACAGTTGTCCTGCCCGTTGCAGCGGAAGATGCCAGGGATGCAGCGATTGGTGTTGGTACACTTGAACTGACTGGGTAGGCAGACATGGACTTCTGTCAGGAGAAAGACAGGGAAGACAAAAGCTCTAAGGGAGACAAGCACCACACTCTTTTATCCTGGGCAATGTTTTATGCCAGGGAGTCTCATGGAACAAGCAGCAGGGGGACATCCTTGAAAGAATGACCTCTCCCACGATCTTTTAAGGCTTTACTTGCCAACTGTCTTACTCAGAGGAAGTCGGGAAAAGAAGCAGTTTCTCCCAGTCCTGGTCCACCTTTCCAGGGCGGATCGGTTGGTGGCAGCAGTGATGGCAGCAGAGAAGCCAGCTGGGAAGGGTCTTGAAGAGACTGGGAGGGCTGGCATCGAGTTGGAAAGCTCAATTGTTTGAGCTTTCAGGTTGACTCAGAAAAAGAACTAGAGGTCTTGAGAGTTTTTTAAATAGATCACAGTATTTTAGAGGTAACCTAAGGCGAGCTCTGAATGACTTCCTCATTTCCAGGACCTTCTAACAATGCAACTGTAAACTTAAAAAAAAAACAAAAAACGGATGCCATTTGGCATTTGATTGCTTTAACTGAATTAAAGCTTGTCTTGAATACTGTTCATGCAATTGGATGTAAAACACAGAGGAAGCAAATAAAAAACCAAACAAACCTTATAGGACAGGTTTGGTAATTCAGAAGAGCTTGGGATACTTACCGCAATTTGCTTCATCTGAATTGTCCTGACAATCATTGTCCCCATCACAGATGAAGGCGGGGTTGGTGCAGATCCCTGTTGAGCATTGGAATTGCCCAGGACGGCATTTGAATTCAGCTGCAGAGAGAAGGCAGTATGTAATGGCTTAGGAGGGGCTCTCAAGAGACAGGGCTTCTGCAGCAAAACTGAAGCTTTTCATTCAGAAACTCCAGCTGCAAACACAGGCATCACCAGGAAAAAGGGGCTGGTTACAGTAGGACCCTCATATCTGCTGGGGATTGGTTCTGAGCCCCCCATAGATACTGAAAACCATAGATATTTATTTATTTATNGATAGATAGATAGATAGATAGATAGATAGATAGATAGATAGATAGATAGATAGATAGATAGATAGAGAGATAGAGAGAGAGAGAGCGAGAGCGAGAGAGAGAGAGAGCGAGAGAGAGAGAGAGAGAGAGAGAGAGAGAGAGAGAGAGAGAGAGAGAGAGAGAGCTGACCAGAATGGGCTATACAGGAATCTGGGGTAAAAACTGGTGTTACACATCTCAGTATATTATTCCTTTGACACAGGGCATCCATGCCAAACCATACTCTAAGACCTGATGCCTCTCTGACTTGGAGTTTGGGGAAAGCCATGTTAGCTGGGGATTCTGGGAATTGTGGTCCAAAACGTAATCGTTCTCAAACTTTGCTCTGACCCACGTTATGTTTTCTTTTCTGATGACTAGTGTTCTTACAAAACCCCATTTGGTATCAAATACACTGCAACTTTTATTCATTTGTATACACATTTTCTAACATATCTGGCAAAAAGCGGAAAAACCTAGTGTTTTAAGTCAAGAATTTTAAAAAAAATTAAGAGGCAAGGGCTAAACTTCCTATTCACACAGGAAACTTTCCAGATTACAATAAAACCCACAAAGGAAGAAGGAAGGAAGCTACTGTGGATGCCATAGGATGTTGTGAGAGGGGCAGGGCTGTGGAGAATTGCATTGGAAGAAGTCCTAAACAGATTTTGGAAATAATATGTTAGAATTAATTATGTTACATGTAACACATTGAGGGGTGTGTGTTTTGTGGTTATGGCAGCCCACCGACACCCCAACTTTTATTTTAACAATCACAACAATGTGTTATAGCTTTTGTGTGGAGAATAGTGCTTAGGGCTGTTTTAAGAGACATTGGCCAATTTCTCTATGAAAAAATTAAAAATAGAACAAATGTGAAAATAACTGCCAAACAATGTGTAGAATGGTTGTTCTGGGTTTTTCGGGCTCTTTGGCCGTGTTCTGAAGGTTGTTCTTCCTGACGTTTCGCCAGTCTCTGTGGCCGGCATCTTCAGAGGACAGCAACTTGTACTCTGGTGTAGTTGGCTTGGGAGTGCAGTATTTATGGCTGTGAGATAGGCTTTTGTCTTTTCCTGTAGATGGGTGATTAGTGTGCATTGTTGTGGGTGTATTGTTGTGCTAAGGGGAAGAGATTAACTGTTCCTGTGGTTGATGGGTGTCATTAGCTGGTCTTTTGTGTGTAGTGATCCCGTCCTTGTGGGTGGGTAGAGTTCGTTGACCTTTTGCACGTAGTATGTTTGATAGCTGGGAGCCAAGTTTTGTTGAGCTTCATACTTTCCTCTTTTTTGTTGAAACTGTGCTTGTGCTTGTGGATTTCAATGGCTTCCCTGAGTAATCCGACGTAATGATTGCTGGTGTTGTCCAGTATTTCAGTATTTTGAAATAGAATTTCATGTCCAGTTTGTTTCAGGGCATGTTCAGCTACTGCAGATTTTTCTGGTTGTTTTAGTCTGCAGTGTCCCTCATGTTCTTTGATTCTGGTGTGGATGCTTCCTTTTGTGGTTCCAATATAATGGTAGAATCCTGTTAGTTTCATCCAGTGGTCTAAGACCACCTGTGTACATTTCAGTGACAAACTGCAGCAAGCAGGGGAGTCAGAGCAGGCGCTCGCTGGAGCATGCAGTCCCATGATTCAGGGTACAATAATAAATACCGATGCTGATTGCTTAACCTATTGTAATTTGCTGCTGAAATTTATGCGAAGGAGCTTGGCCAAGGGCCAGCCCTGATCTCCATCCCTTAGCTTTTAAAAAAAAAAAAACCAAGAAGAACATTTCTAAGGTCTGGTATAGAATGTGAAGCTGATCGCAGCCCTAGACACTCAGACATGCCTGCTGTATCATGGATACTCCCACGAGGCTCTTTAAACAATCAGACCTCAGGAAAAACAACAGCCAAATATAGACATGGGTTCACTGAAGAACCTCCTAGGATCGACACCCAATATACCGGTATAATTAGACACTATGACTCAGTAATGCTTTGAACACATAGTTCAGCCATTGTCAACTGCCTTCTATTCTGCCAGGATGATCCTCAGCCCAAGCCACAAGAGCCTCTCCCCCACCACTTTATCCCCGAGGTTTTCCCCCAGCTATTAACTCACGGCAGTTCTCGGGCTCGTCTGAGCGATCCCCGCAATCGTCTTCTGTGTCGCATTTCCACCAAAAAGGGATGCATTTGTCATTCTTGCAAACAAACTGTGATTGGAAAAGAAAAACAGAAAAGTAATGTTAGCTGTGAGTAACGGGGACAGAAGGACGGCCCCTCTAACCCCTTTTGGTTCCACCAGAACAAATTCCCACCTCTCCCATCAGCCACACAGGAACTCTGCAACGGCTCCGCTGGAGAGCACAGTTTTCCCCAGGAGGCAAAGCAATGGACATTCTTGGTTTCTTACCATCCTTTTCAGGACAGTTTTTGTTTTGTTCTATTTTTTGTTTGTTTGCTTTTTGGCTACCCAAAACCCTCTAAAATCCAAGCATGTGGCTTCTTCGGTCTCAAAAGAGAGCCAGATTAAGAAGAAATATCCCTAACCAAGGGAAGCTAGGCCAGCCCCATCCACCCCTTGTCCTTCCACCAGCAGGCAAATTCCTTTTCATTCAGACACAGCTTTGGCAGTTAAACTGGGTTGCTTTGTTTAATCCAGGCAGTGGCTTCAGTCTGATGTTATTTATTTCTCAGAGATCTACTTGGGAGAGTGGATCCTTCCCATTCTGTGGGCCTCCCACACTGTGCTATGGGGGCAGAAAGGGGGAGAGAGGGGGAGAAAATGGTGCCCTGCTCCCCAAGAAAATGGGGAACGACTCGATCCTGAGGTTCTGCTGTCTGGTGCTTAAGGACCTTGGGAGTCCCTTGAGAAAGCACCGAATGGACCACAAAGCGCCTGCCTGATGAGACCGAGTATTTGTGCTCTGCCTCCTCCCAGGCCCCCCCAGTTACCTGACTGGCTGTGCAGTTGGAGATGCAGGTCTTGCCATCGCCGCCCAGATAGAAGTTGGTCGGACAGGCACACCTGAAGCCTCCTCCTGGAGACAGCAGGCACAGGTTGCTGCAACCCCCGTTGTTGACTTTGCAGGGGTGGCTGGGCACTAAAGAAAGAGAAGAGAAGAGAAGAGAAAGAAAGAACGAAAGAAAGAAAGAAAGAACGAAAGAAAGAAAGAAAGAAAGAAAGAAAGAAAGAAAGAAAGAAAGAAAGAAAGAAAGAAAGAAAGAGGACATGGAGGCAAGTTAGGGCAATCATAGCTGTTGCTGTGCTGACTTGACTGAGCACTGTACTCCTCAGAGTGCATTCACGACGAACCCCTCTTCTCTCACAAAGGTGTGAGAAAATCTTTTCCCACACACTGGGGGAAAAAACCCGCCCAGATCTAAAATCACAGTGATCCAGAATGATAATGTGAATGGAAGACAGAATACTCTATCTGAGGGGATTCACTGGGACCGAGGGCCTTTTCTGTCTTAGCTACCACACCTCACAATACCATGTGTGTGTGTGTGTGTGTGTATTAGTGTGCGCACGTGAGAGAGAGAAGTCATTCTTTTTCAGAATATATGTGTATAAGAAAGAAAGAGGTCTCCGTCTCACGGGGTCATCTTTCATCTGATGTAAGTGTCTGTCTCCGTCTTGCAGGAACTGCACCTCCTCTCGCTCCTGCTAACCCCTCAACCAGCAGCCAAAGCAGCAACACAATTTTCCTGCATCCTCCAATGGCTCAAGCATCAAGAGCAAAGGTCAAGATGACGGCAGTGGTTTTGATTTCTATCTTGTCCCACAGTGCTGGAGCACTCTCTGGGCGATTTGACAGCATAAAAAGGCAAAAAATCCAAGGTGCCATAACTTTTCAATTCCTCTTCCCTCCGTGTCATTCCCCACCCCTCAGAAATAGAGAGTTCATCAGTTACCAGGAGCCTGGCTAGGCACTACATTAGCATTCCTTTGCTAGTACTAGTAAGCTGAGGACGACACCTGTACCAGAGGTCAGTCATTTAGGAACCAGAGTCCTAAAGCTTTGAGATCGAGCTGACAGATACAAGGAAAGGCTATTTTTATTTCACTTCTTCTTTGGCATTAAGACTCAAGGCATAAGCCCACAAAAACATCCTGAGCCTATATCCTAAGGGGCAACAGATAGGAATCCAGCCTGTGTGCTACTAATCTAGAACCAAACTAGATGTTGCTGAGGAGCAAGAAAGCAGAGCAGGGATCAGGCCTGGCCCCTTTAAAAACCTTCCAGGTCAGACTTGCTCTCTGGGTGTTTCTCCTCTTTCTTACGTTCTCTTCTTAGGACCCTTCCCCACCCTGACTTTGCAGATATTGGTTAAGATGTCCAATATCTTCGCAAAGACACCCAGCGCCACCCCCCCTTTAACATTGAGGGGACAGGTCACTCACCGTCTGGCTGCCTGTAGGAGTGGAAGATGTGGATGTCCATAGGCCGGTGCAATGTGCTGATGAGTACAGATTTGTTCGCCCCCGTGGTCTTGTGTGCCCGGTTGATGGATTTGGTTTCCCAGTCAGTCCAATAAATGTAATCCTCAAAGAGTGTCAAGGCAAAGATGTGGGGGATATCCTGATTCAGGACTAGTGGGAGAGAGGACAAGAGATTCTCAGGGTGTGGCAGGGACTTGAAAATCTACTGGAAACCCAAGCAGTGGAAACAGGAAGAGTAGGAAACCACTGATCAATGATGTACCTGGTTCTAGCCTAGGGTCACGATATCCTGTCTCTGCCTTTTTAAGTCATCCAAAGTTCAACCTGGAACAGGCACAGCTGTCACCTATTCATTGTGGGTGCAGATGAACTGAAATACCCCCTTCCATTCTGCTACCTCACCAGGAGGGGATCAGGCGTAACAGGTGCTTGTGCTGAACTAGGACTAGTTTCAAGGGTAAGAATGGAAACCTAATCAGCAACCCTCCCTGCTGCCAGTGACCATTTTTAATCCCTCCCAATATCCCTCAAAATGACTCAACCGTATTGTGCCAGCAGTGCCTGGAAAAGTCCCCCTCTTCCCTTTTTAGAATCATAAAATAATTGGGCTGGAGGGGGTCTATAAAGTCATCAAGTCCAACCCCTTGTTCAATGCAGGAATACAGGTCAAAAGATATCAGCCAGGTGGTTGCCCAGATTTCTCTTGAATGCCGCCTCCAGTGGTGGCACACTCACTACCTGTCAAGGTCACTGGTTCCACTGTCGTACTGCTCTAACAGTTCAGAGTTTTTCCCTGATATTCAGCCTAAATCTGACTTCCTTTAAATTGAACCCATTTGTACGTGTCCTGCACTCTGAGATGCCTGTCCTCTGTATGACTACCTTTCAAGTATTTGTAAAGTGCGATCCTACATCCCCCCAATCTTCTTTTCTCTGAAGGACTAAAGCTCTAAGACTAAGACTCCTTCAGGGAGCATGGTCAGTGGTCATACTGCCTGAGGTGATATGGAGTCTGGGAGTTAATACATCAAAAAAAAAGAGGAACTTTTCAAAATCTAGTCATTCACAGCAGTGAGGAACCAGAAGCAATACCAGTGCATATGCCTCCTCCTCCCTCCCGCCATTTTATAAACCCCTTGAAATCTGGACTGAACTTTCCAAAAATTGGCCCAACTCCAACTATGAAAAATCTGTATGTCCTCTTTGTACCAGTACTAAGCCAACACTAGATTACTATCTGGATAGACAAAACCAGATTCTGTGTCCAGGCAAGTATATCCATCACTACGCTAATTATCATATGGAATCCTTGGTTCTGTTTCTTCATTTGTCAAAAACAGAGGACATTAGTGACAAAAGAAAAAAAAGAGAGTAAAAGTCTAACTTGGATAGATTAGACGATTGTTGTGGGTTTTTCGGTCTCTTTAGCCTTGTTCTGAAGGTTGTTCTTCCTAACGTTTTGCCAGTCTCTGTGGCCGGCATCTTCAGAGGACAGGAGTCAGAACTTTGTCATATGTAAGATTTTCAGGTGTTTAAATCAGTGATTCCTGGAGAACCTGAGTCTCATATTTTAATCTTCAGCTCTTATGGTGATAAAACAGTGCCACAGATAATATGGAAGAATTTCTAGTAAGTTCTCCCAAGCAATTCGGTGCTTCAAATTAAAGGGAACTATTTGATAATTTTCATCCAGGACTCCCAACGCATCAACCGAAGCAGGTTAATGCTCTTCTCCATGAGTATTTAGAAATATCCAATATATTAGGTGAATAATCATGTCAGCATCTTAATGGCATAATATCACTGACCTCTGCAATACCAAGCAACTTGAGTCAGACTGGATAAAAAGACCTTTCCTTCTATTTCCAAACTGCACCTCCTTTACATTAATTAGTTACATTAACCTTTCCTCCAATGAGCCAAAGGCAATGTATATGACTCTCTTCTCTACTTTCTTCACAACAACCTCATGAAGTAGATCGGGCTGAGAGAGACTCTCACTCACTAGCACAAATATTTAAAACGAGGTGGCCCAAGGGCAGATCTATCACTGTAAGCCTTCACAGAACCCCCAAGCCAGAAATATGTCTCTCCACAAACATTTTCCTGCTCCTTGAAGCCTTCGTGATCAGTGGATTTTGTACAGAGGAGAGCAAATGGGTCACATGACCACTAGCCCAAATAATCACCTTAAAACAAAAAACATCAAACCAAGAAGTCAACATCTGGTCACTTCCTGTTATTTTTATAGCCCCCTCCATTTTTTATCGTTTTCAAGCCTTGAGCAGCCCCGGGGAGGTAGTGGTCAGACCCCCCTCCATTTTTTATTGTTTTCAAGCCTTGAGCAGCCCCAGGGAGGTGGTGGTCAGGGTAAAAAAATACAGATCCCAACCACACCAAAGTTGCACATCCCAGCTTTAACCACTACATGAATCTCTCTCTCAGCAACAGCTAGCCTGATTGTTGTCTTCTCTTTGTTCTTCATGGCTACGTGGATTCTGAATATGTCCCTACTCAAAAATGATGCTGTGCTGTATCCAAATCAGCCTCCCCATTTGTTCAGTCAATATTTCAGTTTCAGTTCTACCACTAAACAATGTAGAAAAGAACCCAAACCTATTAACACAGGACTTTCTCAGCTTTTAACAAAGATCTGAAGGGTGGGTGGAAGTAGGAAGGGAAATAAGTGCTGGAGGTCACCCATTGTTCAGAAGGACTCATCCTTTGAGGAAGATGTTCTTTCCTAACTCTCCATGATTCAAAAAGAGGATTAAAAAGACTTACCATGATCAGAAACAACAGAGAGCAAATAAAAATGACCAATGGATCACAGATGATCTTATGAACACATAAAAGACATTTTTGAAAAACACAGGTAATTTAGCTGGTAATGTCAGAAATCTAAACCCAGGTGCGGTTGGACTCACACACATTAGAAATGCAAAGGGTCTCCAACCCAGTGTTTCCTTTCTGCGTGTCAAAGCAAGGGCTGGGAGAAAGAGAAGCCTGGGAAGAGCGTTTTGTCTTGGTGTAAGCCTGTGATTACTTCTCCAGGCCATTTTACTCAGAGCCAAACTCCAAAACCAGAAGGTGAGTGAGGGGAGAAGAGTCTTACGGAAAAGAATTGCAATGGGGGAAAACTAAAAGTTGCAGGAAGATGGCCTTCACAACTTCTCTCTTCCATTGATTTCTCTCTCCGAGATGTGGCCACCCCCCTCCCCACTCTGCTCAGTCTATATGCTTCCAAATTTAAGATTTCCAGTTCCCACGGTTCTCTCACCTATGTGCCGGTTAGAGCCATCCAAGCTGGCAAACTCGATGTAGTCCTCGCGGGCATCAGCCCAGTAGATGCGGCTGTTCACGTAGTCCAGAGTGAGGCCGTTCGGCCAGGTGATCTTGGTGTCCACAATGACACTCCGGTTGGTGCCATCCATACCTATCTTGCCAATCAGGGAATGGTCACCCCAATCTGTCCAATACAAGTATCTGTGAGAGAGTAACGGGAGAGGGTAAAGTAAAAGCCATCAACATAGAACTGGAGCAAGTAACTGTACATCTAAACTGTATGAAATCCAGAGCCACTCAATTAGATGAGAGGACAATACAAATGAAATATGAATGCTAAAGCCAGCAACACAGTTACGATGGTCAGGTTCTCACATTTGGTGGAGACTGAAATGGCAGTGAATGAGGACCACCAACATTCCCTCTGATTTTCAGCCCCGCTGGGCAGGGCTCCACCCCTCGCATGTGTAACTCCACCTTCCTGCACAGGGTTGTTGTAACTAGAGATGAGGGTATTCATATTCATATACAAATACAAATATCCCCCCCCACACACACACACAGGTGGAGATAACAACCTGCGACCTGGCAGAGAGGCTCGTCATTCTGCCTTCTTCCAGGATTGGCTAATCCACTGCAGACAACAGAGCGACAGCAAGGCTCAGTTGAGCTTGCGGCAGCAGCAGAATCGTGAGTAGATCATCTGGCCCCATTGGCCAGATCCCCATTATCTCCACCTGTGGGGGGATATTCGTATTCATATACAAATACCCCCATCTCTAGTTGTAACAAGAACTATTGGGGCCAGGAACTATTGCTGTGGGTGCCTGGAGGAGGAGCCATGCATGGAGGGGGGTGGAGTAGTGTGTGCTCGCGCAGCCGCACACCTTAGAGGGGCCGTATAAAGTATGGATGGGGAGCCTATACCCCAATGGCCATTTGTTACCTACAAGGTCACCCCCTTCAGGCTTCACCTCCTGTGTTGTGCAGCCTGAAACTAGCAGCTGCATTGCCAGGCGGTCTTCCAAAGTGTCCAGGACACATTGAAGCATACCTGTGCCACCAAGAAAGTCAAAGGAAGCCAGAGCCCTTTGGCAGAGGCTGCCTCAAGGCATCTGGAAGACTGTGAGGTGGCAGTGCCCAAGGAAGCTGCCCTCTCTTCTCCTCAAACTGCTTGGGCAACTGCTGAGTAGTGAGCTGGCAAGCTGATGCAATATCATAAGAAAACACCCTGTTGTAAGGTAACCAGTGTGATTTAGTGGACAGAGCGACGAGCTGTGGTTCTGGAAACCAGGATTCAAATCCTCTCTCAGCCATCAAAACTCACTGGGGGAGTGGGAATGGTAAAACCACTCCTTCAATATCTCATTCATCTTGAAAGCCCTGTAAGGCAGTTCTGACTTGACAGCACATAACTAAGTGCAGAAGTAGGTGATACTTTTGTGGAACACTGAAGAAATAATACCCCCTGCTAGCTTTTGTAGATCAGGGCCCGCTTCATGAGGCTGGCACTGGTGTCTTGTCGTTAGAACAAAGAACTTAAGAGTCCCAAAAGTTCATGGCAGACAGATTTTGTGAGGCTTGTTGCTTAGATATAAGCAAGGAAAGATGCAGGCTGCACTGGAGTTGTGAAGCTACAGCCAAGGAAGCCGTTGATTGGCTATCACACCCCAGATCTTCAAACAAAGAAGCGCAGGCATTATTCATACTCCTTCCTGTTTGGCCTTCCTTTGAAACTAAACCTCAAATAACCTTCTGTACACAGCCATTAAGGGGTTTGTGGTCTGATGTCTGGTATGCTCTAAAGCTCGATAACTTAAGAAGTTCCTCTTTGTCCTCTCACAGATGTGAGTATAATTCTAATCCCCAGATGCCCATCCTCTTCTCCAAGAACAGTTGTTCTCCTCCCCAACAATCTTCTTCATGGTATTCCAATTTTCTAACTCTACCACCCTCTGCCAATTTTGACTACTTTGATGGCTAAATTAAAAGGGAGCAAGAATGTAAAGAAAAGAACTAGAAAATGTAGTATAAGCAATCCCTTGGGAGTCCAGGGATATACAACGGTTGGAAAAATGCAACTTAGATGCAGCCTACATTACACTCAGGTGCCCTGATGTTTCAGGCAGACTTACCCATTTTGTACATCCACTACTAATGCCCGAGGTTCCCGCAGCCCTGTGTTCACCAGCACAGTCCGGTAAGCTCCACTGAGCTTTGAGACTTCAATGGTGTCCCTTCCCTTGTCACACCAGTACAGATTTCCACCCACCCAATCCACAGCTAGGCCATCCGGGTTGCTCAGCCCAGTGCGGTGCAGGACCTGGAAGCACAAAAGGCATAGAATGGTACAAATCAAAGACGATATTAAAGGAGGATCTGGTCAAAGCACCTCCCTTAAAAGCCATCCAAGCTGGTAATGCCAGCAAGAAGTGGGCTAGGCTTAGTGTGGGTCTGGTGTGGACTCGAAGTGTGGTGTGGTATATGGGACCTTAATCCCAGCAAAAACCTGCCTATGTCTGGAATGGACCTTGAAAGCTACACTTTGAAAGTAATTTACTATCCGTATCATAAATCCTTCCTTTTGCCATGATTTGTTCACAGAGATGCTACTTTTTAAAAAAATGTAACTCACACTGTTGTTGCTTTTAAAAAGAAGTCATGCAGTATTGTTATGAGATTGGCATAAAAGTTAGAAAATGTTATGGAAAATTATGCTCGAAACACCTCTAAAACACCAGTAAAATTAATGTGAAAAGTAGCTGGAAAATGTTGGCTCATTACGCTAAACAGATACTTTGATATTTTTCACTCACTGTGTTACTCCTGAAAAGTAACTTCCTTATGCCCGTGTTTACCCCTGCTCCCAGCAATTTATTATGGGTAATTATCTAACACAACTACTTCCAAACGCTGGTCTGGAGCAGGGTACTACAAAGGCGGCTTAGACCTAGAGGACCTGAGCCTACAGGACAGAACCAAGGCTGCAACTCCACTTAATTTCCAGCCTGTTTTAAACTTCTGTTCAGATTAGGTGATCACACAGAGACTGTGGATTATTTCAGTGCCACTGTCCACGCTGGATCTTTAATTTGATTCAACCTGCTCTGTGCCACAGCCCACAGCTCTCCTTTGTTTGATCCCACCTCTGCTGACCCCCAGGTCTCCTTTTATGGTTCCTTGTAAGGCTGGTGAACTGTGATATGGAGGGAGAGTTTTCCAAAGTTTACCATAATGTTCAAATACATGCACATATACTGCAGACACACAGGAGTCTGCTGCAGTTTGTTGGACCTGTTTCTATTTCATATCAATTTTTACCTTTTTAAAAAAAAAATTTAGTCCATGTAGAGGTGATCTAGTGCATGCAGTGATATGGTGATCTAGTGCTAAACTGGGAAGTTCAAATTTTGTGAATATATACTTCGGGATGACTAGGGGGAAAGACTGCAGGGGTGTGATCCTGCTACCCAAAACATCATGCCCAGTTTAGTACCACCCACAGACACACTCTCCATCCTTTTGGAGAATGAAAAACTGATCACATGGGGGAAATGCTGTTTGAATTGCTCCAGCTTTAAAAAAAGCAGAAGCCCCCAACAGCAGGGAAAAGAACTCCACATCTGAAGTAAAAAAAGGCTGATTCACATTGGCCTTTGCATTGTGTGATTAGTGTTAAAAACACATCCATTCTACTTCTATAGCAAATCCCATTCTATCTGCTAATGTTGTTGTTTAGTCGTTAAGTCATGTCTGACTCTTCGTGACCCCATGGACCAGAGCACAGCAGGCCCTCCTGTCTTCCACTGCCTCCCATAGTTGTGTCAAATTCATGTTGGCAGCTTCGGTGACACTGTCCAACCATCCCGTTCTCTGTCCTCCCCTTCTCCTCCTACCTTCACACTTTCCAACATCAGGGTCTTTTCCAAGGAATTTGCTAATGTAGTCACAGCCAAAGACAGAGGAAACACAATACCAATGCCACTGGAAATGCACCTGCACATTACTGCCATTGATGTTCATGCGGCGGATCATGCTGCCCTGCGTAGTGACATCTGTCCAGTAGATCATTTGCTCCCGGTAGTCAAAATCCAAAGCCACTGCGTTATTCAGCCCCTAAAATCCACCGAGAGAGAACAAGAGCTAGTGATTTCTGTGTCACCTGTATAATGGGGCAGTGGCTTAGTACCTGAGCTATGTATCATGAAGCCTCTGGTTCAAATCACAGCCCACTAGGGTGCCTACAGGAAAGCTGCTCTTTTTCAAATTCATTACATCTGCATCATGGGGGAGCATTGTACTCATTCATGTTGCTGGGTTGTTGTAAGGATTACTGCTGGATAGTGTGTGTTAAGCACTTTGTAAAACCTTTGAAACTTCAGTTTTTTGTCTCAAGTAGAGTTGACCCATTGGTGTACATAAGTGTTGACTTAACAAGTTCCATTCACTCAGGGGGTCTGCTCTGCTTTGGACAAACAACTGGATTTAGTTTGATGTAACATCATCACCATCATCAACAACAACACAGTGTTGCATGGGGATGACCTGATGACCCTTTGGGTCCTTCTTCCAGCTCTACAATTCTGATGATGATGATTTACTAGTACTATTACTACAAAGTCACAAACAAGAGTGTTCTGTGCTTAGCACTGGCTGCAAAACAATCCCTGCATTCCCATTTCAGCAAACCCTCCCTGGTTCTAAAGGAAAATTTCCCAATATCCTGGAAGTGTCCTTTTAAGACAGATGAAGCTATTTTATACCACATCAGAGCACCAGTCCATCCAACTCAGTACTAACACTGCCAAAGAAGCAGCAACTCTCAAGAATTTCAAGCAGGAATCTTTTTTTTCTTTTTAACAGACCTATCTGCTGTCCCAGGGACTGAATGCGGGACCTTCACCATGAACTACATTCCTTCCCCCAAGTCACAAAAAAATAAGAATTAGCTGCCTGGCTGGGTTTCTGCATAAGTCACTGATCTGAGCATAGGCTCAATCGGAAGGAGGCAAGCCAAGACCAATGACTTATGCAGTGACAAACAGCTGGCCTTGTCTAAAAGTGGGCCATTCTGCTGTATCTCTATAGAGTGACTTATTTAAACTCTATTCAGGAGCTAATAAATCCAGTTTCATTATCTCAGAAGCGAGCACTGAGTTCCCCCCTCATCACTTTTCTGCACAGTATGATAGAGCAGCCTAATGAGGAAATGTTCCTACTTGCATGTAGGTTCAAATCTGGGTTCTTGCTCATATGCAGAGCCTAGACACAAGCGGGTAGTCTCCTTTTTAGACTCTTTTACTCACCCTTATGACAAAAGTGACGGGGGGATGAACTAGATGCTCCCCTTTAAACATGTTAAGGAAATTGGGCCAGCCCTGGAGTTCATGGATTTCATGACAGCCATGAACCTATCCCAGCATGTCATCGGCCCCATGCATAAAGTAGGCCACACTCTGAACCTGGTGTTCTCAATGACGCAGACTCAAAGTGACCTGGGGATGTGGAACATGATTTCTCATTCACTGTCATGGACAGATCACTGCCTGCTAAGATTTAACCTGGCCACTGAGACCCCTCTCTGCAAGGAGAATGGACCTGTGAAATTGGTCCACCCTCATAGGCTTCTTCACCCAGCACGGTTTCACGAGGTCTTGGGAGGGCATCTGGCTGACCTGGTGGACAATTCTGTCAAAGCCCAGGTTGACTGATGGCATTCAGAAGCAACCCAGGCAGTTGGCACAATTGTTCCCCTTAATGCCCTCTTGGCTTCAGAACTCACCCTATCCCTTGGTATACTGAGAGCCTGCGAGCTACCATGTTTCCCCAAAAATAAAACAGGGTTTTATATTAATTTTTGCTCCAAAAACGCATCAGGGCTTATTTCAGGGCATTTTTTTTCATGTACCATCATCTACATTTATTCAAATACAGTCATGTCATCATCTTCTGGTTGCTGCACAATGCTGCACAATCGTGGAGGGCAGGGTTTCACTTAATTAGGGTTTATCTTTGGGATAGGGCTTATATTACTGTACAAGCATCTTGAAAAATCATACAGTACTAGGGCTTATTTTCAGGTTAGGTCTTATTTTGGGGAAAGCAGGGTATGAAGTCAACAAGGAGATGGCTGGAGAGCAGATGGAAGAGACCAGTCAGCACAAAATCTGGCTGCTAAGAACATGGCCAATAAGTATGGCAATGCCTTAAAGATGGCAAAAAAAGGCCTTTAACATCATGATTATTGGCGATGCTGTGAACTGACAAGCAGAACTCTTCCAGGTGGTTTGCAACCTGACCAATCAGCCACATGCCTTTTATTGGCACTGCGGAACTCTCTCTCTCTCTCTCCTTTACTACCTTTTCAGTGGAGGCTGTCCAGATGCTTGAGCGATGCTTGGCTTTAGTACTGAAATGGACCAGGGAGAAGAGGCTCAAACTGAATTTGGACAGGACAGAGATTTTGTTGTGGGGGGGCATTTTATCCCTAGACTGGATGGCATTGTCTACCTGTTTAGGGATCATGGTCGCAATTTCTTCTGGACCTGTCTCTTTCTTGGGATTCCCAGATCACAGCCGTGTCCAGACTGGCTTTTAATCAGATTATTGCCCATCTCCACCACTACCTATACGAGGGCTCCCTCAGGACATTGGTGCAGGCACTGGTCATCTCCTGGATCAACGACTGCAATGGTCTCTACGTGGGGCTTCCCTTGAGACTGACCTGGAAACCACAGTGGGTCCAGAATGCACAGCCAGACTGGTGGCTGGTGTGAGCAAATCTCTTCAGTGTTCACATCTCTTCAGTGCTGGCCAGCCTCTCCTGGTTACCCATTGTGTCCCAGATCAGGCTCAAGGTTCTGACATGCTTTATGGTTTGGGACCACATTACCCGCCAGAGCATTTTTCTCCAGTGTCCTCTGCCTGCCCCATCAGATCCTCTCAGGCCAGGCTCCTCCATGTAGGCAACCCAAGATAGGCGTGAAAGTAATCTACTAGAGGTAGGACCTTCTCAGCAGTGGCACCTACCTAATGGAATCAACTCCCAGAGGAGCTACTCTTGGCCCCCTCCCTGTACTCATAAAGGCATTTAAAGGCACTACTATTAAGGGAGGCCCTTTCCCATCAACCCGGGTTGAATGCCTCCCCTCAAATTTTGCCTTTCTTTGAAAATTGGTTGCATCATTGTTTTTAAGCTGCATTTATGTGTATTTATGCTGTATTCTGTGTAGGTTGTTTTAACAGTCTATTAAACTGCCTAGGATAGTGCTCTGGCACTTATGGGGCAGTATATAAATCAAAGCATAAATAAATAAATATTTTGTGACAAAATGAACATTTTCAGTGGTATGACATTCCACCATCACATGGAGTTTCCAGGCTGCCAGCCATTCCTTCCTCAAAGGTACTCCATCCCATTAACACTTCCACTGGGGTTTCCCCTGCCCACCAAGAATAAGTCAGAATTCCAAAGACTGTGGGCATGCTCTTTCCGTCATCAACCATTTCTGGGGCTCCAAGCAGGATATTTCCCTCACATCGTGTGTGTGTGTGTGTGTAGTAGTGGTGGGGTACTTTTGCAAACTTTGAAGTTTTCCAAGCCTCCTGATAACTTTCCCTCTTATGGGCGAGTTTCAAACTTAAGGAATAGGCCTGTAACTACAAAGCTGGCAAGGTAATTGGAATAAGTGATGAAGCAAGAGTTTTCTAAACTGATGCCTAAATATTTTCAAGAGGATAAATAAGAATATGCCAAATCTATACAGCATTCTGCCCTCCACCACGCCATGCCCCTTACCTGTTTCAGCAAGGTATAGTTCGAACCATCCAGACTAAGCTTCCTCAGATAGTACCGATTAGCAAAAATCAGGAAGGGTTCCTCATCTGTGAATTGAAGCAAGACATTAGTAAATAGGTGCACAGTGAGTACCTGGTGGAAAAGCACTAAAGATTTCAAAATAGTAATTCTTGGTTTCTGATCCCACCCACCCCCCTTTCCACAAATGGCAGCAGCACAGAATTACCAGAAGGGAACAGGTCCACAGGCAAGTTCTATACTCATCAGACCAATCCTAGCAAAACACTGAAGAAGCTTGCCCTACACCTTTCACTTACTCTTGCAAAGGCCAGGACCCTTCTGCTTCATGCCGATCACTACAAAATTTACAGTTCTGGGTACCAGTCTCACCTGTGACAGCTTTGCAGCTGGTTGGGTCATCGGGCTTTAGGATATAGCCATCTGCACACAGACACTTGAAACTACCATGGGTGTTGATGCATATCTGGCTGCATGGGTAGGTAGTGGTACACTCGTCAATGTCAATGCAAGTCTTTCCATCATCCTTCAGCCGGAACCCAGGGCGACATCTGCACTGCAGGGGGCCATAGAAAGTTATTACAGGTTTCTAGGCAGCATGCTGGAGAAACAAACACACAAGCGGGCACACACACACACGCATGGAAAAGTTAAAATAGGCAACTCAGGAGTTGTTGCTCGCCATCTCCCTCACCTTCCTCTTAAGGTAGACTCAGCGGATACGATAGCAAAGGGGTGAGCAAAATATAGATTTGGATCTATTAGTAAAGTTCTAGTAGGTCAGCAAGGCTTTCTGACCCCCAGTTGTTCAGTGATCACAGCAATAAGATCCCTTCCCTTCCCACCCCCATACAGTTAAATATTTGAGTAAGCAGCATTGGGGTTTTGTGTAGTAAGACTGTAAGCTCCACTTAGTTCTGATACTCAAAATATATTCCTAGGCCCAGAATATATTTCATTCATTCATTCATTAGATTTCTATCCTGCCCTTTTAGACAAAGTCTACTCCTCCTACTACAGTCTGGAAGCTCACCCAGCACGCAGACCGGGTTCATTCAAATGTTAACAACTGAACCTGGTTTGCGTGTCAAGTATGCTGTGTCTGGACCAAGCTGAGGAAAACTAAATTTTCTGGGCTGCAATCCCTCCAGCCTGCTTGGCTGCTGGCCATGGTGGCTTGGGGGTGCTGGTAAACAAGCAACTGTAGTTCTAAAACAGAAACTTTTCTAAGTTCTGGCCTTTGTCCTCCAAATACAGACCTCGTGGTAAAATGATAACAAACCAAAAGCCTGCAAATCTTGCATCTCATCTGACTTCACCAGAGGGCAGGCCCTGAGACCGCATTACCCCATTGCCACGTGGGCTCAACAGGAGGGTGGCTGCCACAGGGTCAGCCGAGCTGGTCTTCACGCTTCTCTAGAGGAAAGCTGCCCCTCAACCAAGTTTGCTTTGGCTCAGCCAGAGATGGCTCCCAGCAGAAGGAAGGAAACCACCCCCTCCCAACCTTGTAGCCAATCTTGAGGTCCTCGCATTCTTGGGAGCAGCCGCTTTGCTTCTTGTTGAGGCATTCGTTGATGAAACAGTTCAGCTCGTCCGACCCATCGCCACAGTCATTGTTGTTGTCACAGAGGAGATCGTTGGAGATGCAGTGGTCATTGTGGCACAGGAAGAACGTGTCATTACACTTGCTCTCTATCAGGAGAGAATACTTAGAATAACCAAGAAGCAGTGAGACATTCTGCCTCTCTCTTCCTTCCCTTAGCTCAGAGTCTTTCCCCATCCGCACTCTTCAGGAACTATGTCTAAGAGGGCTACTGCACTGAACCATTCTGTATGTTGCTGGTCTGCCCCCTGCCATCATCAAAAGCGCATACTGCTTTTCTACAGACACTGCAATGGAAGTGTGCAGACTGGTGTGTTTTTAACAACAACTCCTAGAATCGAACTTGCAAATTGGTGAAAAACTCATACCAACATTAATATCAAAATTTCACCACTAATCAATAATCCAAAATAAGACTCCATCACCACCCAAGGCCAGCTCAGGTCACCGACCAAGAAAGCACAACAGTGGTCTTACACAATAACATCTATATTATAAAGATGCTAAGGTAAAGGTAAAAGTTCCCCTTGACAATTTTTGTCCAGTCGTGTTCAACTCTAGAGGGCGGTGCTCATCCCCGTTTCCAAGCCATAGAGCCAGTGTTTGTCCGAAGACAATCTTCCATGGTCACGTGGCCAGTGCGACTTAGACAAGGAACGCTGCTACCTTCCCACCAAGGTAGTCCCTATTTATCTACTTGCATTTACATGCTTTCAAACCGCTAGGTTGACGGGAGCTGGGACAAGCGAAGGACGCTCACTCCATCGTGAGGATTCAATCTTACAACTGCTTGGTCTTCTGACCCTGCAGCACAGGCTTCTGCGGTTTAGCCCGCAGCGCCACCACGTCCCTTGCATCTTGTTGCATTCGAGAGATCTACTTGGGGATACTTGGGACGCACTCCCTCCAAGGAGTGGAAATGGGCCTTCTGCTCTTCGCTCTTTCATCTGCCAGCCCTTCACATATATATGACCAAACTCAGCATGCAAAGCCTTAGATCTCCCTCCCCAACATGATGCTTACCAGGGCTTGAGCAGCGGGAATTCTTGGGTGCTTCATCAGACTGGTCATGGCAGTCAAACTCGCCATCACACTCCCACAGCTTGTTGCTGAGGCATCGGCCATTGGCACAGCGGAACTCATTGGGACCGCAGGTAGGATACTCTGAGGGAGGAAAACGGAGACAGGCGGTCAGGCTGCACTGAAACAGATCTTATCATATAACAAATGGCAATAGTATGGGAAGGTCAATATACATGATTAGATTCCCCCCTTCCCCTTTAAAAACAAACAAACACTAGGTGTGTGTTGTGGAAGGTGGTGGATTTTGGTTGTTAAACATAGTAAAGAAATGCTAAAACTCTTCCCACTTGCAAGTGTATTTCCAGACTCAACGGAAGCCAGACAGAAGCTAAAGTTGAAAAGGATCTGTTATTGATTTAACATGACGTGTTACATAGTCTTAAGAACAAAAATGCTTTACACAGCATACAGATAAATAGTATCATGAACTAATACCAGCAAATCAAACCACTATTTTGAAATGGACAAGCAGTGGCCAATAAAGCCAGCTGATGTGTCTTTTTTCTAAGTCTGTATTTCAACTGGATAGGTTACCAAAACCCAAAAACATAAGACAGTTTAAAAACAACAATAAGCAGCACAAAGCAGGCTTCCTCAAGATAGAGCCTTCTAAATGCGCTGGATGGCTATTCCTGTTCTTCCCAGTTAGCATGATAATTAGAATATCCCTGCACCTTCATCATACCATAAGGAACAATGGAGATTGGATGGAGACACCATCAGCCACCATGAGATGAAGGCGGGACAGACATTAGATGGTTTTTGAGAGCTGATAAGTAGGAAACAGGGTTTTTGGACCACCTCCACATGAAGAAGCAATTTTCGGTTCCGATTTATATCAGCACCTCTTGCTCTCACCGCCCATCATCTTTGCTCACCTTCAGGTAGTCAAAACTTATTGGTCACAGATCATTGTGAACTTGCCCAGTTCATTATGGGATTCCCAACTGGCTGGAATCAGCCACAGGACTAATCCAGATGGAAAAAGGAAAAAGCAGTCAGGAAAAGAAGGGCACCAAGATTTATCTTAGTGACGCAGGCACTTCTACAACATGTTTTTCCAGAACTATTTTGACCTTGTGCACATATCTGCAATCGGAATATCTAAATGGGAGCACATTTGGTGCACCATACTCCTGCTTAGGTCCAAGCCTGAGCTCTCGGCCTGCACTTACCACATTCTTCAGACTCATCAGAACCATCTCCACAGTCGTCATCATGATCACATACAAAATGTTTTGGGATGCACTGGCGGTTGCTGCACATGAACTCTCGTTCATCGCAGGTGCTGTTGTACACTGGAAGTAAACATCAACAGTGAAGCCGCTTCTCCCTTAAACCATCACCCTTGTGAAGCTCAAATTCTTTCCCTATATCATTTGTCACTTCATTAGTTCTACAGCCCATAACATATATCCCTTTCAGTCTGAAAAAATTGTGGGTGGACTCATGGAGATGCTCCTTTCCACGGTGCACTGGTTCTATCCAACATTCCCTCTAATTTTCCGCTATCACTGGGCGGGGGCCGATTCCACATGCATGAGGTTCTGGCCGTGACCAGAAGCAAATGGGCAGTGACAATGGCTCAGCCACACGGCCTAGAGGGAACATTGGTTCTATCAAAGGACAGAAACATTCTTGTTTTGGAGTAAGACTCTCAAGAATTTCCTAACCATCATGGTTCACTAGCTAAAGAAGTTTGTAAGATACCTGCGCTGCGCTTGCTGATGCTGCCTACCTGGGAAAGCAAAATCAGGGTAGTCATCAAGCATTTTGCAGGCCAGGACACACAGCAAACAGGCTGTGTTAAGCTTGGTAAGTCATACACTTGGCATGATGGAGAATAAGGCTGATGAAACAACCCTAACACTCCTAACACCATAGGCAGCTCACCCTCTCATACAAATGGGAACTCAATGAGTTTTTTTAACTCATACAATCTAGACTGTCAGAAGAGGGTATGATATTCAGTCTTGAAGTAACAAGGCAAGATTGGATATATACAACTGAATTCCATTACGCTTTCCTCTGTGCTGGCCATAGGTCCATTCAATGTGGAAGACTGTACATCCAGGTGGAGAAAAAAACCAAACAAAAATGCAATGCAATCTAAACCTGCCTCCTAAGATAGTTAACTAGTGCAATGAAGTCAGCAAGAAAATCACCCAACAACCCAGCAAGGGGACACAATCAGATTCTCAGTGGGAAGAACAGGCAACTCACAGCAGCCAGCAGCCAGACTTTCGTCTGCTCCATCACTACAGTCCTTGTCCCCATCACAGAGCCAGCGTTGTGGCACACACATGTAGCTGTTTGGGCATTGGAAGGAACCTGCAGCGCAAGTGGTGTTACCTGGACAAACAACATTATAGTTTTAGGAAATGGAAAGTTGATGGATCACGCTGCAGAATAAGGCTACAAAACCTCTGTCCTTCCAGATTATTACTGGACTGTATGTCCCAGCATTCCACACCTGTAGCTATACTGGTACGGGATGACAGTAGCTGTAGCCCATCAACATCTAGGAGGGCTGCACTCAGACCCTCCCTCCTTTAGAAACAAAGTGTGTACTTGGATAGAGGAGGGCTGTAATGTTATTGTTCCTTGTCTCAATACAATCCTACCCTCCCTCACCACACAAAATGGCTCCTCCAAGACAATTCTAGTTCCCATCGCTTTCCTAAAGGAGCAACAGAAATGTAGAAACCTTCCATTTCATTTCTTCTTTGGTACACCGTGCAAGATACCACCCTAGTTCTCTTCCATTCTGAAGATCTAGGAGCTACTACAACCAGAAATAAGATGCTAATACTGTGTACATTAAGTGTAGCGTTTGTCAGAAGTTAGCTTTGGAAAGAATTTTGCCCAGGTCATGCTGACAAACATGCTGGCCGTTATTTTTCTCTTCTACTGGAGCTCTCATCTATGCAAAGGAGCCCAAGTCAGGATATAACCAGAGCTGGTATCTATCACTCATAGGGCTGGAGTGCCTGGTTGCAGAGCCCTGGCCAGGAATTTGAATATTCACTGTACTCCCTGCAGAAGAGGCTAGCCAAGACTACCTGGAGTGTGGGTGGCTGGTGGGATTGCGTGCCCTGCCACCTGTGCAGTCTTGGGCAAGCTGGATGATCTCAGAGTACCCCCAGAAGAAGTGAAGGGTAAACCCCTTCTGGGTGCTTTATATTAGAAAACCTGTATGTTGGAATCTGCTTGACAACATATCGTTATAATATTGAGAGATGGACCTGCCCCAGCACCTTCATTCCTCCTTACCCAACCTTTCCATTCTGTTCCTTTATTCTGCAGCTTTTCCAATTATGTTCAGGATCACATATAAATTAATAAATATGTTAGGGGGGGTTGAATGGGGAGTATCAGTTGGACAAACTTGCCCAATGGCAAGGGGTTGGACAAAGTGACTTTTTGATCCCTGCCTTGATTCTGCAAATAGGATCCAGGCTATCCTTCCAGCTTCTCTGGGTGCCAGATGCCCTCCTTCCCTCTTGAACCTGCAGCTGATTCCCCTCCATCCTCCTGTTTCCTAGACCCAGTGAAATCTCTGTGTCTCCCCCCTCTGCCCCCGTTTCCAGACAGGGTGTCTCCTTCCACTCCAACCACTATTCAAGCCACACACCTTCATTCTCCTTTTCCCTTTGCCTTTCCCAAAATCAGGAGTGAAGACTTACGGCAACGTTCGTCTTCATCGGAGCCATCTCCGCAGTCATCCGCTCCATCGCACACCCACTGCTTGGAGATGCAGCGGTGATTCTTGCACTCAAACTTCACAGGGAAGCAGAACTTATCTGGGAAAAGGAACAGGGCAGTCTTACAGCCAAAGCCCCCCAAAACACACCAGCATTTTTATACAGCTGAGGACAGAAATATTCAAACAAACCCATGATGGTAACATTGAACTCTGAGGACCAAACATCCAGCCCATTACAATGCAGGTGCAACACTCACTGCAGTGTGTCTCATCCTCGCCATTTTCACAGTCATTTTCCTTATCGCAAGTCCACGACATGGGGATGCACCTCCCACTTGGGCAGGCAAAGTAGTTGGCTGGGCACTTGGATTTTCTCACACCTGGAGAAGTTACAGAGGGAAGACAAAGGAAAAGCGAGAAAATGTATAAGAGAGTGAAAAGCAATCCCCACCCCCTTTTGTACAGGGTGGAGGAAAGACAAGCATAAGACAGAAAGGCATATGCATTCGAATTCATCACGTGTTTTTATGAGCAGCTGGTTTAACATCTAAAGAGTTATTTTAAGAAGTCACAGCAGGATTAAATTTCTATCCCATGAGTCCATAAAATGGCTTACAACAAATCAAACAATTTCCAACCATCAATAAATATAAAACACAGATCGTACCATAACCAATTACAGTGACGAAAGCTATGTTCGCACTCCATCTGTCCCCAAAGCCCTCTGAAATTAAATAGTCTCTACCCAATACATGAATGTAAACCTAGAAAAAGAAAAGGTGAGCCTCCTTGGATTCCATAAGCTTTGCGCCAGTACCAGGAAGAGGCTGCTGCATGCAATAATGCTGCACATTTTTAGGAGGAGAAATATGGAGCATAACCTCCAGGCAATGTTAATTATGCAGGTAGGTTCAAATGAGGAAGGTAGTCTTTCTTTCCTTTCTGAAAGCAAATATCTGCCCCTTCTTAGGAGACTATAAGGCCATGTTTCCAACAGAGAGGCTTACCTGGACAGTTCTGCTCATCTGAGTAGTCTCCGCAGTCATTGCTGCCATCACACACCCAGGATGGAGCATAGCACAATGATGTGTGTTCACACTTCTGGAAGGTAATACTTTTCACACCCAGTTTGAAAAAGCTGCTGCAGTCAGTCGCAGCTGTCAAAAGAGAGGCGATTCATTTGTGCAATTTACAGTGAACTCGCCAAACAGGCATTAGGATATAAAGGACTTTAGTTCTGTACAAATCCTTCCAAAGACAGGCATGCCAAATTCTGGGTCCCAGAAGCAGTGTTTTTCCAGATTGAATTCAGCAACAAACCTGACTCTTCAACTCTCATGCACATGCACATATACGTTAACCTGATCAGCTGCTAGAACATGGGAAAGGAAACGCCTTTCCAATTATGGGCCAGCCCAGCTAACACAACCTTTCAATATCTTACTCTTCCTTTCGACTATCAGGCAGGGCTCAGGGAATGGGGTGTTTCTTCCTTGGCAATCATAATATTTCTGGCATTTCCCCCAGTGCCTATCAGCACCAGTGCAACCTGGGTCACCAAGTCTCAATTTACCTTTCCTTCCCGTCTCTAGTGGAAGACAATGGCCACGTATTGTCAAGGAAAGGGAAGAATCCATGTTGCACAGAGACTCCTCAATCCAACAGGCAATGGAATGGGGTGTTGCATTCAAAATGGGGTGGTAGCTTCATTTTTCTAAGGTACAATATAGTTCCTTTTATGGCACACTTGGGCACCATGAGCTTGGGACCTCCCCCTGCCATAACATTTGGGCCTCCTTTAGCTTTCTGTTCAGTCCTTGAACTTACAAAATGGTATAGCAACTGAGCTGAGATACATTTCATTTCTGCCCTGCCTCTCCTCCAGTGACCTTGAAGTAGGGTACAAAATTCACGTTTGTCTCCCTTTATGTGCCCAACAGCCCTATGAGGTAGATCAGGCTGAGAGAAGGATGGAGAGAGGGAAAGAGTAACCAGTTCAAATTAATCCAGTGAGTTTCAAAGTTCAGAGGGACTCAACCTTAAACTCACAAATCCCATTCCATGATCCTCATCAGCATATTACACGGGTTCTCAGGGATGTCTCCTGTGTCTCCCTGGTATCTCCTATCATTACATGGAAAGAACCTCTTCACTTGGCATGCCTGTGGGCATTTTCTCCTGGCTCTCACGCCAGTCCCTCTTCCATTTTGCTCCCAGCATCACATATGTAGTGTGTGGGTGTGGGTGTATAAGTGCATGTGCATGCCATTAGGCGAAGTCTTAGGAGGGCTATCTGCTGGGGTCTGGAAGTGGCACAGAAGTGAACAGTGGCTGGACGGTCAAGGCTTGTATAAGAAGAAGGAGTGAGGTGGGTAAACGCCCTTCCTGGGCCTACAATGCAACACTCACTGCAGTTCATCTCATCCGAGGCATCCTCACAGTCAATTTGTTGGTTGCAGCGGCTGGAGTTGCCGATGCAGGTCCCATCCCGGCAACGGAACTCAGTGGCAGCGCAGCTTGTCTCTGGAACAAATGGAATCCTGGTTACTCAGATGTTCACCTCATAAGCTGCTCTTCTTCTAAGGAGCTCAGAGTTGGGTACACAGTCTCCTATCCCCACCATTTAAAAAACAAACAAACTCAAATCATTCACAACAGCTCTGCTAGTCTGGTTAGGGACCAGCTTGAGAGCAACTGACCAGGCAAAATGGAAGAATGGATATCTGATACCCTGGTGGCCACTATACTGACCCTCTAATTAGGAACGTAGGAAGTTGCCTTCTACCAAGTCAGACTATTGGGTCACCTTGACCAGTACTGCCAATACCGACTGGGAATGGATCTCCAGGATTTCACATGGAATCCTTTCCTAGCTTTACCTGATCTCTGATAGTCCCTGTTGGTTCCCCATCTAAGTACCAACCCAGCTCCAACCCTGTGTATTTCCCTAAGTATGTCCACTAGGGACAAAGCTTAGTTTGCCAACCTATGCCGGGGTTTCTCTGAACATTAATCATGATTACGACACAAAACCCACTTGGCACTAGCCACGCTTAACTCTTCCGTTTGCAAAGTGTCTCTTCTGCACTGGTTGCTGCTAAGGCACTGACCTGGGCACCAGCTGGAATTTCATATCCATTTTGCATAAGCACAAAGATAACACAAGAGTGTCAGTTCAAAAGATCAAACTGCAAAGGCACGGCTTTAAACGCAGTGGTTTATTATTATTGTAGTGGTAAAAGGAAAAACTCTGTGTCCTCTGACTGGCCTTCCCAATTCTTATCAGGTTTAATGTACCTATGCTAGTCTGATTCAGCAGCAACAAAAACAAAGAAATGTGTACAGCAACATCTTTAAAACTAACAATTTCCTTTCAGCATGAGTTTTTGTGGATGGAAACCTACGCTTCCCCTGACACAGCTCTTCATCACTTACTGTTGCAAGGCACTTCGTCCGAATTGTCCCCACAGTTGTCCACGCCATTGCACCAGTCCTTGATGGGCACACAGCGCTTGTTGGTGCAGTGCAGGTAGCCTTTCTTACACTTGCGGCTGTCTGCAACACAAAACAGGGAAGCGCCTAATCATGAGGTCATAAAGTGAAGGAATGCATGGAGTCTGATTAATGAAGATGCCCCCAAGAAGCTGGCGTGTATCTCAGCCCCACTGAAGTTCTCGAATGCCAGATCCAAACAGGATCCTGATCCAAGAATCCTGGTGCACAACAGGAAACTCTGGGAAGGGGAGGAGGGGAAGAGTGGAAGTCAAGGTCTTGCTCTGACCTGTTCAGCTGGGCACAGCTCACCAGGCTTAGCCTTACACAATTAACAGAGGCAAAGGAAAGCAGGATGGAAGCCAAGCCTTCTTGTACCATGAGCTATGCAGGAGCTCACCACATTTAGGTTCAAAGGCTATATTGATCTGAATAACAATGGCTGGCAGAAGGGTGAGGGGAGAGGGACTGTTCTTCAAGCCCTATCAGTGGGCATCTCAGAAACATCTGCCTCATTAGGGGGATTTGGAGAATTGTAATCCCCCTCTTAAAAAAAATTATTTCCTTCAAAGAGCAGATCTGGTGGTCTGATCTCATACTTTCATCTCTGATACACAGTGCAATGCCCTGCTCCTTTCTCTGACTCTCAGATTCAAAGGTAGAAAGGAGGAGAAGCCAAGCCCCTTCTCTCTCAAAGTTTAGAGGAAGACACAAGCGAAGGATTGGGATTATTCTGCTTCTGTGCCCAAGGGGTGTTGCAATGTTAAGTGACAGGCCATTGACTGGGGCAGACTGGAGAAATTGAGATAGGTCTGGGAGCATCTGTGAGATGCAGAGCAAAGGCCTTTGGGTTCCTTTGCTGTCCACCCTCAGTATGGAAACTGGGAGAGGAAGCAGGAGCAAGTTGCAGTGCTGAGCTCATGCCTGACAAGTACCAAACCAAAACCAATCCAAGGCTTCAGCTGGGGAGTTGGGGAAAGGCATGGTTTCACCCTTTCTTCTCTTTAGTCCGCAAGTCTGAAAGCGCAGGACTTGTCTCACCTGGTGGATGCTGCCCTCCCCTCCATTGTCCCGGTCAGTGAGATTGCCAGGGATGTTGGCAAGTCTTTGGTATGAAGTCCAAGTCTCTGGTACCAAGTCTTGAATCCCAAGCACCAAGCCCAAGTCCCCAATAAAAACAAGTCCCACCCCCGCCCAGAAAAAAAGGGAAGGGTGGATGGGTTCTGAATCGCAAATTGAGCTTGAGTTATTGGGTGGGAAAATCAACCTGAGTCAAGTCTATGTCGAATCACTGGTGCAACTGACTTGAAAGCAAGTCCCACAACTAGAGTCCCCCTGCCTGGAGATCACTGAACTCACAGAGTATATATATGATTAAGCAAGCTACAATGCATAGATATGGAAAATGAAGCAAGACCACCTGACTAAGATCAGATGGAACATGGAAGTTCTACACTTCTAATAATCTTTGAACTGCAGAGCTGGAAGGGACCCAGTCGATCACTGAGTCCAGTCCTTCTGAAGGAGGCACGGCAGAGAATCTAATTTCCAACCTCTTGTTTTCCAGCCAGATACCTAAACCACTGAGCTACCTACCCAGCTACTAATGTTCTCTCAGAGATATTTAAAAAGTCACTATGTTAACCACTGAATTTATCACTCCTAGCAAAGCACACAGAACAGTGGTTCCCAACTTTGGGTCCCCAGATGCTCTTGGACTAAAACTCCCAGAAGCTTTCTCTACCAGCTGTGCTGGCCAGGATTTCTGGGAGTTGCAGTCCAAGTGCATCTGGAGACCCAAGGCATAGAAGAACTGGTTCTTAATTCCTTTGGACAAGCTGTTGCCTTACTACCATGAAAGTAAAGTTGTGTTGTTCTTCCAAACACAGCAGATACCTGATATATTCACCTGTAAGTGGGAATTTAGCCTCACAAGCACTGGATTTTTAAATAAGTGTTGTGGAGCCATGAACATGAAAAAATGGCAGGCACCAAAGAGCAACAGAAAACCATTTTCTAACTCCTACATTCTCTCTTTCTCTTTTTTAAAAAACAGAAAAAAACCAAGCAAGCATCAATGATAACTACGTAATTTGCCAATAAACTCTTTTCAATAATATTTATGCTTAGCCAAAGATGAGAATGGGGGAAAAAAGGAAAAGTTCCAGGACACAATTGCTGTGATGGTGGACAAAAAGGAACTGAGGGGATCTGGAGGGAAGGGGGCTTGACGTGTGTAGTCAGCACGAGAGAGGGCTCATCCCAAAATGATACAGCTGAGCCTCAGAAGATTCTGGAATGTTCTACACAGGGGCAGGAACATCCTATCACCCATCAGCATGTGTTTGCAGAGGCCACAAAGAAGAAGCAGCAGCAAAATTGAGCATGCCACGATATCCGTGGGCAGAGGAGTTGAGAGAGGCAGCAAGCAAGCCGAGAGGCAAAAGGAGGAGCCTTACTGCAGTAGGACTGCTTCTCGTCCGACTTGTCCTTGCAGTGGGCCACTCCATCACAGGTCTGGCTGAAGTCAATGCAGTCCCCGTTTCCACACTCAAACTCATGGTGCACATTACACGTAGAGTTAGGAGCTAGGGAAAGAAGACCACAGGAAGATGTGTGAGCAGATCAGACTTAGCCGTTACCACTTTACCTGGGACCCCTTCAGAAGTGCAGAGCGAGGAAAAAAACTGCTTAGTTTTTTGACTGAGTATTCAAAAAGTTACATTCCACTGTAAAGGACAAGGGAAAAAAAAACAAGAACAATGGGCACACAAATGAAAGGCAAAATAACCAGCCATAGATTGTTACATTTTCTCTTTGCAGGGAGGGCAGCATGGAGTAATATTTCAAACTACTGTGATGAGAAGAAATAAAGCTAATTCATTGAGGTGAATGAGTAATGTTTTCTAGTTGTTTGCTAAAGTTCTTCTAAACCAGGGGTGGGCAATTAATTTCTATAAGGGGGGCCACATGAAAAATCTGAACTGTGTTCGGGGACTGAACCCACTTTACGTAAAAATAAAATGAAAGTGATGTTATGATTGTTTTTTTTTTTAAACTTGTTAATCTGCGCAAATACTAAAGAGGTTTTTTGTGGTGTGTTAAAGATAAGCAACTGATCAACTTTAGACAAAAAGCTATAAATGGTTTTGATGTTCAAAACTGTCCACGGGCCGGACAGGAGCAGCTCGCGGGCCGTATGTGGCTCTTCGGTTGCACTTTGCCCAGGTCTGTTCTAAAGGGCTATTCTATAAGTATTTTTGGGCTGCACTTTGCCCAGGTCTGTTCTAAAGGGCTATTCTATAAGTATCTTGATGTGAATTTTTCAAAGTAACATTGTGTTACTTCTATGCCATTTGCTTACCTATCCTAAGATCTCCACCTCCTAAAAATGTAACAAACAAAGCCACAAGCAAAGGACAAGCAGTGCATTGTGTTACTTCTATAAAACTGTAGCAAGTAAAGCTGGTGAATTAATCAACACTATCATAAGAACAAAGAACAAGTTATTTTCTGAAACAGTAACTTTCCACCCTGGGGCAAGATGCCTACTGCCAGATCTACAATCTGAGGTGGGGGGGAGGTATAGCAATCAAACAGTTTCTCTTGTTCTTCCCCTTTCACCTGCCACTTCCAGTGCCTGTCCTATAATTCCAACTGACTGCTCACCGTGTTGCCCAACACTATCATAAGAACAAAGAACAAGTTATTTTCTGAAACAGTAACTTTCCACCCTGGGGCAAGATGCCTACTGCCAGATCTACAATCTGAGGTGGGGGGGAGGTATAGCAATCAAACAGTTTCTCTTGTTCTTCCCCTTTCACCTGCCACTTCCAGTGCCTGTCCTATAATTCCAACTGACTGCTCACCGTGTTGCCCAACCCTTGTTTCGAGGGCGGGGGGAGGTATAGCAATCAGTTTCTCTTGGTCTCCCCCTTTCACCTGCCACTTCCAGCGCCTGCCCTATAGTTCCAACTGACTGCTCACCGTGTTGCCCAACCCTTGTTTCCAGATCACCGTGTGCGTGGTGATGTAGAAGGGTTAAGTGTGCAACTGTTAATCAAGCAAACTGGTGTTCTAAACAGGACATAACACTGTTTCCAGGTCACCGTGTGCGTGTGCGTGCTGATGTAGAAGGGTCAAGTGTGCAACCGTTAATCATGCAAACTGGTGTTCTAAACAGGACATAACAACTCAATATGTAACGCTGTGATCAAAGAGATCTGGAAATCTAATAAACTGTTGCTCTCTGACACAAATGTGCACAGACGTGTACATGCCACAAACACAGGCTCTTGTGATGTTTTCCTCAGCATGGGCATACCTTTTGGGAACAGAACTCTTAAACTGACATGCTTCTGCCCTGTCCATCCTTGCCATTACCACCATGTGGGTGCTCACCTCTGCAAGTCAGATCCTCCTGAAGTATCCTCTCACCCCGGCAAGAGCAGCTGATTTCACCCTTGGCTGTGAGCAGGCACAGGTCTTCACAACCGCCATTGTTCACTCTGCACAGGGAAAGCTCACCTGGGTGGAAGACAGACAGAGCAAGAAAAAAAAAGGAAGGCAACAGTCAAGGCTGAAAAATACAAAGCGTGCAAGAGGCTGCTTTCTTCTGCACAAACTACCCTGGTCCATGCTCTCTGGGTGGGTGGGGGGTCCTGTTCACCACCCCACAGCCTCACCTTGATGCAGAACAGGGCCTTCTCAGTGGTGGCCCCCACCATCTATAATCTCCCTTTTGAAAGCTAATGGACTCCTCATGTGCAGAGTTCCTGCTGCCAAGTGTTCAAGACAGTTTCCTGATGCCTAAACTTACCAATGTTGAGATTGTAATGCATTTTACTGAAACCATTTTACACTTTATTGTTTTATTCCAGTTTTGCTTTTTTAAATCCATGGGTTTTATTACATTTTCTTGGGAATTCACATCGTAAATGTATTTATTTGTTTTATTTACATTTTAATCACGCCCAACTGGTAGCAAAGCTACTACTGTGGGCAGCAAACACAACCAGAGAATAACAATAGTAGAAAGCAATAAAATGCATAGTGAAGAAAAATATGAAATCCTAGGACCATGCTAGAAGAGAACTGATAGGTGCAATAATTCAACAGGCCCATGGGTTGGGGGGGGGGGAAGATCACAAGCCGCAGACCAAGAGGCAAACGTAAGATTACTTTGGGGCAAACTAAAGAAAGGCTTGGGAGAACCACCAGGTCTTAAGTTGCCTCCTGAAATCAAGGAGGGATGGGGCTAGCCAGACCTCTAGCAGAAGGGAATGCCAATCTTAGGTAGCCACCACAGAGAAGGCTCAATTTGGAAGACGTCTAGACCTCCCAGAGTATTCCTATATGAGAGGTAGGATGGATGGATGTTTTGAGGGAGAGGTGCTCAGACAGTTAACAAGGTCCTAAACCATCAGCGGCTTTAAAAGCTAACATAAGCACGTCGAATTTGGCCTGGAAGCATACAGTCAGCCAGTGCAGACAGGCCGGGACAGGAGTTATATGGTCATATTGAGCTGTTCCAGAGAACCACCTAAAAGCAGCGTTCAGTACCTGATGCAGCCTCTGACCCACCATCAAAGGCAGCCCAACACAGAGAGCATTGCAATAGACTATTTTTGAGATTGTGAAGGATTTCCTGTTGAGATAGGGGCAAAGGTATGCCATCCACCTCAGCTGGCAAAAGGTGTACTTGGTCCCAGCAGAGATCTAATACTCCATTGTGAGAAATTGCTTTAGGACTAGTCATTAGCAATTTTAAAATTGCTTTGTTGTCAATTTCTGATAAGATAGAACTTGATTATTGCTCAAAAGAATTGATTTCCAATTCTATGACAAGTGCTAGAATATTAAGAGCTAGATTCTGGAAAGATAAAAATGATATTAAATTAGAAGATTGGTATAATGAAGTATGGGACATTGCATTAAATGATAAATTGACTACTGAACTGAAGATGAAAAGAGGGGAAATAAGTTCAAATATTTGGGGTAGATTTATTGAATTTGTATTAGTGAAAGGAAAGGGGAAAGCCTCTAAACAACAATCAATACAATTTTGGGAAAGCAGTTTGTATTAGAAGTATTGCTCCAAACGGTCCCGTGGGTATGGGGTGCACTGTGGTTTAGAGTGTAATAGTGAGTCTTTTGTATTCTTTCTTTGTTTTTGTTTTGGAAATTTAAAAATAAAATTTAAGGAAAAAAAGGACTAGTCATTAGCACAGTCACACAGAAGAGAAAAAGGTTCTCCTTACAGATAGACTATTTTTGAGATTGTGAAGGATTTCCTGTTGAGATAGGGGCAAAGGTATGCCATCCACCTCAGCTGGCAAAAGGTGTACTTGGTCCCAGCAGAGATCTAATACTCCATTGTGAGAAATTGCTTTAGGACTAGTCATTAGCAATTTTAAAATTGCTTTGTTGTCAATTTCTGATAAGATAGAACTTGATTATTGCTCAAAAGAATTGATTTCCAATTCTATGACAAGTGCTAGAATATTAAGAGCTAGATTCTGGAAAGATAAAACTGATATTAAATTAGAAGATTTGTATAATGAAGTATGGGACATTGCACTAAATGATAAATTGACTACTGAAGTGAAGATGAAAAGAGAGGAAATAAGTTCAAATATTTTTATGCTATTTGGGGTAGATTTATTGAATTTGTATTAGTGAAAGGAAAGGGGAAAGCCTCTAAACAACAATCAATACAATTTTGGAAAAGCGGTTCGTATTAGAAGTATTGCTCCAAACGGTCCCATGGGTATGGGGGTGCACTGTGGTTTAGAGTGTAATAGTAAGTCTTTTGTATTCTTGCCTTTGTTTTTGTTTTGGAAATTTAAAAATAAAATTTAAGGGAAAAAAGGACTAGTCATAAGCACAGTCACACAGAAGAGAAAAAGGTCCTCCTTACAGCTGTTGGTGTCATTGGCCACGGCAATTATGCCCATGGGTTGCTGGGGAATGTCAATGCGCAGGTGCTTCATGCCGGACCCCACATACTTGTTGGCACGCTGCACAGCACGACGCACCCAGTCCGTCCAGAAGATGTAGTCCCCATAGACAGCCAAACCAAAGGGGTGCACTGGCTCTGCCTTCAGGATTATCTGTTGGAGATCATCAGAACATTAGCAGGGAGGAGAGAGGTGATCATCCGGAAATCGTTCCCCTTGGCACAGTTCTATGGATCCGTGTTCCAGCAATTAGCCCTAATTCTATTTTGCTTTCCTTCATAATTATTCTGATAGATAAGAACCACCTTCCAACTCCCACCTGGTATGAGAAAAGGATGAATTCGACAACATCTGGAGAGTTATAGACTTTCATTCTTATCATATAGCCTAGTTTACATCTTTTGCCAAAGCCACACCACTACTGGCAAAAATTTGTTACAGTCAGGCCAAAGAGATTCTGTAACCATGAACTTCTATTCAATGGGATAGAATTAACTGGTCCCTTTTTTCATCTCTTTTTTCTGTATAAAATGTCTCATACTGATCTACGATTTCTCTCTTTTGCATTTTCTTCATACCCACTAAAAGTAACTTTGAATACATTTATAAATCTACAGATAACTTCCACATGTAAACAATACAGTCTCATACTGATCTACGATTTCTCTCTTTTGCATTTTCTTCATACCCATATAAATCTACAGATAACTTCCACATGTAAGCAATACATATATCTGATCTGTACAAATCTATACAAAAATCTGTACAAAATCAAACACTGTGTAAGTAGTGTTTGCCTTGTGTATGGCAGTTTCTTTTAGGAGAGTGGGACTTACGTATCGTTTGGATCCATCATATTCACAACGCTCTATTTTGTCCAGTGTGGCATCAGAAAAGTAGATCTTCTCTGCCTTGTGATCAATGGCAAGACCATTCGGTGTGCGAATGTCTTTGTCTATGATGGTGATCATGTTGGCACCAGACAGCGTAGCCCGCATGATGCTGGGGTGCTGCTCATTCCAGTTGGTCCAGAACATCAAGCTTAAGAGAAGGAGGAAAGGGTTTATGGAGGAAATTGAAATAACTTTATAAATCAGTGTTTGAAGCTTGATCACCACCACTCAGACCAATAAACCATACTCATGACTATTCAGTTTAAACTTAATGCTAAATTGAGTTTACTTTAAAGAAGAAAGTGAAAGCTTTCAGCCTCTTCTCTACCACATCTTGCTCCAAGGCACCTTTATACAGCACAACATTTTGCGTAAACACAACCCATGTTTTCTCACATGCGTTATTGTCATCAGACAAGATCTCATGTTTAGGGAGCCCTTGTCTATAGAAGTGAGCAGAAGTGAGGATGGATCCAGACTATCTTTTTGTAGTACTCCTCTCCAAGGAACAGCACCTGGCTGACTCCTTGGCAAGTTTCAAGACTCCTTGTGGAGAAAAGGAAAACATTTGAAGTGTTTGGTGTTTCAGTTTGCTAGTTTGGTTACTGATGCTGCAGATTTTAAATGCAGAAAGACTGCTTTTAAGAGAGACTTTTAATGGGATTAGAAACTTTTAAATGTTGTAAGCTACTATACGGCCCCTTGAGGGCTGAGCATTGGCAGGCTAGTAAGCATAAAAACCAATTTAAGTGTGAGTGAGCAAATGAACGAATGAATGGATAAACAAACGCATAATCACAATCCTAAATGATGATCAAAGTTTGATTACAGGTTTCCCTGGGCAACAGTGATACCTACTTCTGGCATTCATCCAATACAAAGGCACGAGGATGGTCATCCCCAGACATGGTGATAACTGTCTCTCTCTCAAAGGCTCCTTCACGGGCTTGATTCACAGTATGCCGAGTGATAGTGGATGTGGTGTAGCTCGTCCAGTACAAGGTGTCCCAGCCTCGATGGTAAGCCAGGCCCTCAACCGAGCCAACATCTGTTGAGGATAGAGCATGGTGTAACATCACCAAAAGTTTCATTTCCTTAAATATCTTGCTGCTTTGCTATCTTTACCAGCTGAATGTTATCGTTGTTTCACCTCCCAGCCTGTCAAGGAATCAGTCTCTGGTCTGGTTCTGCTGACTAGACAAAACTTGGAAATAAATGAGGGATCCTTGACAAGTTTCAAGATTCCTTGTGGAGAAAAGTAAAACATTGAATTGTCTGGTGTTTCATTTCATTCAGTCCAATGAAATGAAACGAAAGGCAACTTTCCAAACACAGCTTATATTATTTTGGCTATAGTGATCTCCTCTGGTTTCTGCCTCTCCAACTCAAAAAGGCACAGAGAATTATTTATTTATTTATTTTATATCCCGCCTATCTAATCAATTAAGATTACTCTAGGCGGCTTACAACAGCACAAGCAATAAGCTTTTCAAAATCAGAAGCTGATTTTGTCTTGCCTAATACTACCGACTTCCAGTCTTGCAATGTAACCTCTCTCCCAGCCTCTTCTGATTACTGCCAGTTATATTCTAATGAGCCCTCAGATGCCTTCCCAAAATGCTGTGCTATCTTAGGACTTCTAGAACTTGAGAATAAATGTGATCTGGAATTTCATCACAGGCTCATAGCTGGCTTTCTTGGGGACACAGCTCACAGAATCCAGGAGTTTCTAATAAGGACTGTTTCTACAGGGTGGGTGGGGGCATGTCTGGAGAGAAGAAAGGGGCGGTAAATTGATTGATTGATTGACTGTAAAAAATAAAAAGCCGTTTTTCCTTCCCCCATTGATGAACAATCCAGAGAGCAAAACCCAATGTGCAAGACAAATAGTCTTGCCTATCCACTTTTGTATCATGTCAACTGTCCACTTCTTTTAAAAAGTAGTACAGCGAACATTCATTTCTTCTTTCCCCTTCTCAAGAATACAAGATACAGTACATTAACCCACCCCCCAAAAAACCAACAAAACAAAAGCAAAAGAAAAGCCTCTTCAAATTTTATTCTGGAAATATGACAGCAAATGCAGAAAAGAGCTGGGTTCCAGGAAAGTGGTGATTTTCATTGTTAGGTTGCACCCGGTGTGAAAAAAACAGTCTGGAAAAGGGCAGAGTCAGTTCTATGGATTTTGCCCCAGAAGATAATGAAGGTGTGTATATAATGAGGAGCAGGGAATCAGTGGCTAAGGTAGATGGGAACTGACAAAAATCTCACAAAATCCAAAATGACGTAGGTTCCCCCCACCCTGGTTTACAGAATGTAGCTAATCAACGTTGCTCTTTTCGAAACACACGTGTTCTTAGGGCAGAAAATGGCACCAGCATTCCAATATCCAACATTTAGCAGGGGTTTGGTCACGATGGCCTTACAAACCCTTTCCAACTCAATGATTTTATGATTCTATGATGCACAGATGGTCAGGGAGGACTCATCATGTCGTAGTCCAACTAATATTGGAAACAAATTTCTGACCACAATCAGAGGGCCAAGACTTGCAATTTGACAAATGGCCTAATATGCTAGTTGCCATAAACAGGACTTCACTAATTGCCAGTATTGATTTAGCCACGGACAATTTCAACTCAAGGCAATTATTGGCTCTGCTTGAAAAATGGATTTAAAAAAACAAAAACAAAATTGCAATTAAAATCATGCTGGGTTTTCCTGCTGCCTCTTGCCAACATTTCTTAATTGAGCTCTCTGTGCAAGGAGAGATTGTTCTCACATTCGCCTTAGGTAACTGAAAACGGCCTCAAGGAAATGAAGGCCTGATAAGCCTTTGACTTGGCTGTGCCAGATCCAATCCCCCGTTCTTGACATAAGCACCCCGTGCAAATTCAGCTCAGGTCATCTTGGGGAGAACTCACTGCAGAAAGACTTTTAGCCAATTTCAGCAAGCCGCCCCTGTCTCGGCCCAAGCCAGATGCCCTCCACATGCATGGTTTCAGCAAAGGGCCACACTGCCTCGGAGACAGAGCTCTTTTTCATGCAGAAGGTATAGCAGGGCAGATTTCCCCTTATTTCTAGCCAGAGCTGGAAAAACTCTGGCCTAAAATCTGGGGCCAAAATCATGGGGCTAACTAACAGGGAATCTTCCCACAGCTAGCATTCTTTCTGAGAGCTGACATGATGCCACAGTTCTGGAAAATCTTTAGAGCTCTTGACTAGTCATTAGATGACCTCAGGATTCTGAGAAGTCTTTACTTCTCAGCAGGTGAAGCATTTTGTCTTTGTCCTCCCATCTGAATTTAGTTTTTTTCCCCCATGAAGTACATTAGTTCAAGATTTTGGTCCTTGTTTTTGTGGCAGCCACAGGGATGTCCTGTACAATCCGAGAGTCCCTAATTCCGGCTGGCGGACAAGGAGGAAGAGGAGGAGGAGGAGGAGTGGCAATGATCTACATCCCAGGGATGCCCTTTGCCCTGGTAAACTCAAGCTGTCCTCACAGGATCACAAGTTCTGGTGTTCGGGGGGTCAAAACTTGCTCCATGATAATCACTTTAACAATGGCCATTAATGAACAATAGTTGGGTAGTGACACAACAGTCACATCAAGGAGGTGATTCATAAGGACCTACCAAGAGTAGTGATCCTGTATTGTACCCACCTGCACACACATACTAATAATAGATCCTTTGCCACAACAGACTTAAACATTCAACTCGCCTCCCCCCCAATCCCGGAAATAATCCAAACCATTCATCACCTTGACAGAAGAGTGGGATTCAAGTATAGTAAATGTGTAAATAAATAAGATGTGGGCCACTCACAAAGCAAACAGCAGCAGTGGCAACTCCCCTGCAGACCAACGCAGTTACAATGAACTAACATGGAGGGATTTATAGCTGCTGTGCAAACTCTGTACTGATGACAAATTTTTCTCCTGTAACAGGTGCAAGGAATCCTCTGGCTCAAGGGTCAGATGTGGTCATAGGGGTTCCTCAGCTCAACCACAGTTTTTTATGCTGTTCTCTCCATTTAATGATTAGAAATAAGAGGCTATTTACAATCAGGAAATGCAGCTCTGGGGATCTGAGTTCTGTCTGCCAACCCAGAAAGCTGTTACACAGAACTACTATTCAATTGTATTTTAATTAGTGTATAGTTCAATTGTTTTTTTAACATTATGTTTTTACTTCTATCCTTTTAATATTGTGCACCAGCCTGGATCCCCTTATCAGAAGAAAGGAGGCCTAGAAATTAAATTAAATTAATAAATAATTTATCTTCTGTTTCACTTGCAGGATTTTGGCCATCTTTTTCTGGTCAAGCTGATATCTGCAGGGACACTTGGTTTCATCCACCCACATGTATGTAGACTAGTATTAAACTGTTAATAAATGGAGGCATTGGAACAGGAGAGGCTTGAACACACTGCGGTTCATTTGCTTAAATTGATTTCTCTCAGTAATCTATCAAAGCTTTCACGGGCAACAGTCTATGGTGTTAGATGTTGCAATTAACATCTGGGCACTGTGAGCGCCTGGAGCTTCAACCTCCACTGTAGCCCTATTCAAACTGGAGGCAAAATGAAGCATGGGTTGTCGAATTAATTGAGGCCCCATAGCAGCTAGTCTTGAAGAATAACAAACAATCTGAAATTATCAATCTAGTCAAAAGCCAGGGAAACTCACCAGCTTTTGTAACCCCTGTGAAAAAACACAACAACTTCTCCTTCCACTGGACCGACCCCTCTTAAGAATAGAAGCAGCCAACAGATGGGGGCATGCTACTTGGCAATTATCTGTCTGGGCATGCTGAAAATGTCCACAGCCTCACGCCCACCCATCACCAAAGTTAATAAACAGGAGGGAACTAATTTGTTTGTCTCTAAATGAAATGGTGCATCCCACTGGGATGCCCCAAGCTAGTCTTTGAAGAGGGAATGAAGTGTGTCGACTGTCGACCTGACTTCTTTCTTCGGCCACTCCAGCTCAGTCACACAAATTAGCAATGCAAACAGGAACACAAGTGGCATTGTTCCCTGATGGTGGAAGAGCTTTAAATGTTATAAGACTCACTTATGTAATTCTAATTTATATACAGATCTCAAGAAAGAAGGAAGGAGGGAGGACGACTTGGAAAGACTCAGCACGGACTCTTAACATGCACGCAGTCGCGAGAAATTCCTTCCTGCCTCTATGTAGGTACCTGGAAAAGATTTACTGAAGGCTGTTTCAAGCCCAACCTTATTTTCTAACTGAAGTGCATGGAGAAGAAGGGCACCTATAGAAGGCTGCCATGTCTCCCAAGAATAGGATATTGGCCCGTGTTAAGGTGAGTTCCCCCAAAGGCAGTGAGAAAAGTCATTAGTGGTGGAAGAAGACTATCTTTTCTCCCATAAGCTGGATGCAGGATGCACTCAGGGGCTGATTTGTGGCAAAGTAAGAGGATGAGGCTCAAAGCCTTCTTGAAAAACCAGGACCGTTCCTCTCAAGAGTAAATCTGCTAGCACAGCTCAATTCAGATCCCACTGAGAAAAGTCGCAAACCCCATCCCTCATTCACTCGAACAAAGCAGAATATGGAGTCCTAATAGAGCTGTTGAAGTTTACAATCAAAAGACTGACTGATTGATTGACTGGCAAACTATAAGAGGACTCCCACATCTTTTGAACTACAGTGGCCACAATCCCTTACTATTGGTGATGCTGAGTAGAACTGAGAAATAGTAGTCCTAAAACGTGAGACAGCCAAAGCTTTGCTATATTCAACAGCTGACCAGCCAATAGCAGAGATGGGAAGATTTCATGTACCACTGGACACCAAGTGCATGACTGTGTATCACACACAGTTGACAACACACAGTGCTATCTACCTAAAGCCCTTGGGAAAGGGTGGGATAGAAAATGAATTAACTAAGAGAAAGCTTCTCATTCAGGCCCTATGTGAAAGTAACAGCTAGTAGTGAATGAAATCTACATTTTGAAAGCCATAGTGTAGGACTTTAAACAGGAGTCTGCTTCATCCCATTCTGTTTACACATCAAATTGTCAAGAAGTTAAGACAAAAGGGAGGCGGGGCTTTGTTGCAGTGCTGCCAGTAACTCCAGAGAAGAGCTCTCTCTGGAAAAACTGGAACCGTCCGGTCCGGGATCCCCCTTTTGAAATGGGGATCGAAGGAGAGACTAGGAGAAGTCTCTCTGAAGCAGATAGTGAGCAGCAGAAGGAGAAGAATGGGAGGCAGACCCTGACTTCTTCCCTCTGAAGAAATCACTGTGCACGGACCGGAGACAGGGAGCCATATTTACTGGCACTGAACCATGAGTAACCCTTAACCAGGGGAGAAGAGAACAACCAATATCAGCATAAAATATATAACAACTAAGTAAGCCAAAGCCTCTGATTTATGAAACAGCCTCATTAAACTGAAAATAATCGGCTGAAAGAAGAAAAGCAGCGGCGAGCCTATCTTATCAGTCTATTTCAAAAGTAAAAGTAAATCTCCTACTCAAGTGAACTCTTCATATAGCAGGCTGATTTCAAAGCCGAGAGAGTGAGACGGAAAAATAATTCTTATGTTTCTGGAAAAGAATCCCAGATGATAACACCATCTGATAGGATTTAAGAGACTTGAGTTTTGTGAACACAGTTTAGCTTGGACATATTTCTCTTTGCCCTTTCTGGACTTGGTGAACTGTTAATAACAGAATTTGGTGGTTTTCTGGAGAAGAAGGAGCTGACGTGGTCGACTGGACTAAGGACTATCTAGGGGTTAACGGAAAGATCATAAGGACAATTACTGAACAGTTTGGGACTCTGTGATTGTTCTTTTGCTTATCGGACTGTCGGGAGTTTGAGAATAGAAGCTTGCTGAACTCGGGAGAAGAAGAAATAATTGTGACACGGTTCTATTTGATTCTGAATTTGCTGGGTTAAAAGCTGATTTTTATACTATAATATTATAATATTTGAATAAAGATTGGAGGGAGATTTAAGGGGAGGTTTATGATGAGGGGTTTGGAGTGTTGATAAAATTGTGGAAACTGTTGAAGGATATCTAAGGTGTGAGCATTGTGGTTAAGGGCATAGTATTTATACAAACCCCAAAGCCTGAGCTGGCCCCCCAAAATTTAAGACAACAAATGGAGACTGGGTCTGTTCAAGCCCAAAGTTTTGGAATAGTGGTACAAGAAATAGAAAAGGAATGGCAGATTACTATGCAAAAGATAATAATAACAGGGTTTCAGCAAGTGAATGAAGGCCTTAGCAAAATAGAGGATTTGATGAAAGTGACAAAAGAGGGGACAGTAGATACCAAACAAAACCGAAATGAAGCTGTACAAACTTTAGAACCTTCTTTATTAGGCATGACACCAGGCAACATAAATGGGATAGAGAGATATCCAGTGACCTATGCAGCTTCTAAAATTAAAAAGCATTATGTTAAAAATCTCAGGGAAGTAGAGATACTGAAACAAGAGATTCTTATTGTGAAAATATGGGAAGTGGAAAAAATGTCAGATGGGCTGAAAGATTGTTCAATTCAAAAGGAAACTGAATGATGGGATGTATTGTATAAATGGCTGCAGTTATCAGATAGTGTTGGAATAACATAGAATCAAACTAAAATTAAATGATACGATGAAAGCAGGAGGGGAATCAAACTGTGAAAAAGTAATTGTAATATGAACTGATCGGATGATGGCATACTTTGTGTTCTCCTATCCCCCCTAACCTTTTTTCCCTCTTACCTATTCCCCTTTACTTTTTGTCCTCAAATAAATACTTTAAAAATGAAAAAAAGAAGAAGTTTAGACAATAAATGACACAGATACCTATTATTGCAAAGTCAAAACCTTTGGGTTAGAAAAATTGTAACGTTTCATGAAGTCACTTGGCTGATGTGACTCTGTTCACAGCTCCAGATGCACCAGTGGACATTAATCAAAGGGAAGAGAAGAAGGAAGCTTTGGGAAGAGATGCTCAGAAAGATACAAGGAATATTTATATTTTTGCAATTATTTCTTCCTAATAATTAAATCTAAACAAAGATTGCCCAGCTTTACTATGACGGCTCTTTTACTTTGACACTTCTGAAATGGCACATACAGGAATTCCTGGCTGTCCCCAAACCTGTTCTTCCAGAATTTCAATGGTCATCTGCTCAAGGCCTTACTTTGAAATACCCTATGTAAGGTAAAGGTAAAGGTTCTAGGGTGCGGCACTCATCCCCGTTTCCAAGCCGTAGATCCAGCGTTTGTCCTAAGACCATTTCCGTGGTCACGTGGCCAGCATGACTAGACACGGAATGCCATTACCTTCCCACCGAGGTGATACCTATTTATCTACTCACATTGTTACATGCTTTCGAATGGCTAGGTTGGCACGATCTGGGACAAGCGACAGGAGCTCACTCGGTCGCGTGGATTCAATCTTACGACTGCTTCTGACCTTACAGCACAGAGGTTTCTGCGGTTTAACCCGCAGCCCCATCACGTCCCTACCCTATGTAAGACGTAATGGTAAATCACCTAACTTTACACCCTTCTCATCTGATGACATTTTTAATGGGAAAAGTCCAGTCTAAATTGTAATATTATGCATGTTTAACAACTTTAATACGATTCATAATGTTGCCCAGCATCTACTGTCTTGTGATCAAAGCTGGTTGGCTCAGCCATAACCTCAGAATTTCTTCTGAGACTCCCTAAAAGAAATTCCAGAAAACTGTTGTCTAATTTAGGGAAGCCACTGTTAGGCTGATTTAGGAGTGTGACACTATAGATTGGGGCCCCTCCACACTCCTTGTCTGAACTACTGTTCTGTCACCACTGCCACACTGGCGGCTGCTTCCAGGAGGTAAAGGCCAATGTATCAGGAAGGCCTCCTTCTTCAGGGTGCACAGAGAACATTTCAACTATGTACAATCACATAAACACTCGCATCATTCAATTATGGATGCCTCCACCCACCTTGACAGACACCGGCTTATGTTCCCAGTTGCCCTATTCCCCCACAGCAGACAGAGTAACGTCTTTTCTTCAACACCCTGTTCCATCTGTAGCCACCCACACCATTCCTCAAGAGTCTAGGAACCAATATTTTCCCCCCTTAAAATTGGTTTCCCAGCTCCTAGAAAGCCAGTTTTTGCATGTTCTACAAACTGGAGAGAGAAGATAAAGGGTAGAAAGTTGTGTTCTCATAGTGTGAATTCTTTACCCTAAGGCAGTGGCTCCCAACCTTTTTGGATCTGTGGTTCCCCCTGCGCAGCGGCAGAGCAGGAGGAGTGATGAGGAGTGGGGGGGGGGAGCAGAAAGCCAAGAAGCCCAAAAGAGCCAGAACTGGAGCCGGAAGAGTAGCACCACTACTACCGGTGGCAGGAAAAAAAAACAGAGAAATTTCCGTGTTGCTTCTGGCTGGTTTGGCAGCATACCAGGGAGCTGTGGGGTGCTGGAAGAGCTGTAGGGCACTACAGTGCACACTCTGGGAACCCCTGCCTTAAGGTGCCCAACCAAAGGAATTGTCTTCTCCTATGGTTGAACTGTCACTTGGCTTCCTCCCTGTAGCCAAGGCAATCTCAATCCAGTTTCAGCTGTGATTAGGGAAAAACAGCATCTACACATCTAACCTAGATGGAAACTGCCATCAGGGCACCCTCTCCCCAGCTTAATGGCAGGAACTTGTTCGCTTCAGGTCTCTTTCCATCATCAGAGAAGAACTGGGTGATTTCCTGTACAGAGCCAGCTCCACCAGAAGACCAACACTCAGTGCCAGAGGCCAACAGCACTCCTCCGATATCACAGACTTCAGAAGAACTCTAGTTTCTAACCATCCAAGACACTTGAATCCAAGAGCACTGGGAACATGACATCTCCTTGTCTTCTGGATTCCTCTATCAAAATAAGTCCGCCCACCTGAAATTGCTATTGTCGGAATAGTCCCCTGATGTACACTCAATGAATTTGTTTTTTCTACAGCTTGCAGCATTAGGAATGCTCTTTTTCACACATTACCCAAAAGGAAGCAATCCAGGAAGAAAAGAGAGAAAAGAGGGAAGGACGTCTAAAGCACTCACTCTCAACGATAGTCTTCCGCCCGCTTCCATCATCATTTATTTGCTGGATGTTGCCAAAGTGAATGTCACTATAGAAGATACGGTTGCTGCCCTTGCTGCCATGGCGGTAGTCAAAGGCCAAGGCAATGACGTTTTTCATGTGCTCGTTGTCTTCAAACGGTTTGATGGGTGCGTTGAGGTTGTTTTCATCCGACAAGTGGATACTCTTGAGGATCGTGCGTTCTGAGTAGAGCAGGTACCCGTCATAGTCACGGCAACTCACGCTGTCCTCCGAGAGCATGCCATGGGCGCACGCGCATGTCCGTTGACCTCCTCCCCGGTACAGACACAATTGTTCACATCCACCATTGTTCTGAGCACAAACGTTGGTTCCTGAACAAGGGAGGCAGGAAAGGGGAAATCTAAACAATTCTTATGAGGCTGGTTTCCAACCTTCTTCTACGAGCATGGCTGGCCCAACCGTGAAGTGGAGAGCAGCCACTTTCTTCTCAGCTAGTCCCCTCATCCCTAACTACATTACTGCTAGTGCCACTTCTGTACATACCCTTTTGCCTGGCCCTGTTGAACACCTTAATATCCTTCAGTTGCACACCTATTCCTGTGCGCAAAGACACAATTTCTGAGGCATTGTCCTTGCTGCCTCTCTTAATGGATCCGTTTGCATGAGTCCTAAACAGAGACAGAAACAAGCGTGTGAACATGCCAAGTACCACAGCCTTTGCATAGAGGTGGCACCATTAAATGCAGACTAGAAAGAACAGCCTGAGACAGGAGACATGAATACCTATTAATCTTAATTAGGCAAACATATACATTAATTCAAAATTAAATATTATGGACTAGGAAACTGATCAATTTTACGTGGGTAAACTTTCAGCTGGACACACAAACCTTCAAGTAAAGAGTGCCCTGATGACGAAGAGGTTTTCCTGCTCTCTTATGGGAGAAGGCTTGTGGGTGGAAAGAGGTGGCCTTATCACACTATCCTTCAAACTACTAGCCCACGAGCAACCACACTGTATCAGCTGCATGAACTATGTGCTGGTTAGGGAAGACTGCTGCCTCCTTATTAAAGAGGAGATTCTTAACATGTACACAGATTTAAATCAAGTTAAATTATAACATATGCTGTATTGCAGATATCTAGCTATGATGGTCTTGAAGCCATGGCTCCAACAGTTTAGTAGTCTTCTTTACAGTACAACACACAGGCAGTCATGCAGATGGACCTTAAGGTCCAAATTCCATATTGGGCTGATATTTCTCTTTGGATGTTTTTTTTTTAAAGGACACAAAGCTACATGAAGTATATTGGAGTTGTAATGTGGAATTCTCTGTTGCTATTAAAACATTAGAGCTGTTATAGCTTAGTGGGTTGGCATCTCTGGGCTGTGGATCCAGGTTCTGGGAGTCTGAACCCCCACTGTGACTCTCAGCAGAGGGGGCCAGGCACGATCATTCAGTCCATGTAATGGCTGATGGGGTTATGCACTCTGCCAGCTATGCAGTCCTGACAAAGTTGCATGGTCCCAGGGTATTATCAGAAAGAGAGACTGGTACATCACGTCTAAGTACTTTATACCTAAAAAACCCCGGAAAGGTTGTCATAAGCTAGAATCAACTTGACAGCATATCATTATTATTATAAATTATCCTAACACACATTTCCACCTTGACAGAGCCTCAAACGTATAGCTACCTGGTGCCTCGACTTATGAACGGCCCTACTTATGACCATTTTGAGTTATGACCAGGTCCAGCCGCAAAATTTTGCTTCTACTTGCAACCTGAGCTTCCACTTACGAACAAAAAAGACAGGGGAAAAAGGCAGGAAATTCAAATTTCTAACTGTAGGTGGCTTGGGACTGTCTCCTTCTGCTTCTGAGAGCATATGTGTGTGTTTGCAGGGAGGCTTCAGGCTGCCTTGTAAAGTAAGGTTTTCTGGTTTTAAAAAACTGTTCTGGGTATTTTTGTAGTATGGTTTTGAGCTGGGGGGAGGGTTATGTTTCTGTGCTGTGATGGGTCTTGTGGGCTTTGTTTGTTTTTTGTTCCCCCATCTCCGATGGTCTTGGGGGATTTCCTTGCTTTTTGGATTCCCCCCCATTTCCGATGGGTCTTGGGGGGTTTGTTTGCTTTTTAGTCCCCCCCCCCATTTCGGATCTTACACACTCTGCTTGATTGCTTTTTGCTTTCTCTTGTTTGCATTTGCAATGGGTCTTGCATGGTTGATTGCTTTTCTCCCCCCCCCCTTCGGCTGGAAGGGATTAATTGCGTTTCCAATGAGTCTTGAAGGGATTAATTTTTTTGTGATTTTTCTCTTTGGCTGGAACAGATTAATTGCATTTCAATGCATTCCAATGGGAAATGGTGCTTTGACTTACGACCATTTTGACTTATGCCCATCTTCCTGAACCAGTTAAGTTTGCAAGTCGAGGCACCACTGTATACCCATTAACCTCAGCATGGTTTCAGAATTAAATACTTCTCAATTCAGTCCTTCGAAAGACTGAACATATATCCCATTTACAAAGCCCAGCAAAGGACATAAAACTATCTGGTGAGATAAACTCTGTCTGAGAAATAAAAGTAATAATACAGCTGTTGCAAAACCCTTCCATACATGGTCCAGGCATTTGTCTGTTGCAGTTGGCTTAGCTCTTGGAAGTACCATGACACAGACCTGTCACTCCAGTAGACATAGTCCTCAAAGACCGATACGGAAAACATGTCCATGTTGTTAGTGGATAGGACCACCTCCCTCTTGTCACCCGTCTCTAGGTCTATACGTTCTATTTTATCTGTTCGGGCATCACACCAGTAAAGTTTCCCATCCTGGACAGAGAGAGAGAGAGAGAGAGAGAGAGAGAGATCAGGGTGGCATGCCATTAATGCAAATTATATATTAAACCCAGGTCCTAACATGAATTCCGATTAGATATGGGGCAATCAAGGACCATCAAATGTATACTAAGTCCTGCCACAGCAAACTGAGAGTAAGTGGGCATATGACTTGTGATTACCTCCTCAAAGCACAGAACCCACATGTATGATACGAGAAGGCCATGATGGAAAAATAAACATTATGATTAAATACCTCAACTTTCTGCATTCTAGTTGATCTTGTTGTTGCTGTTGTTATGTGGATGGCAATTGCTCTCAAAAGAAGAGAGCCGTTTACACAACTCTGCCCCCATTTTAGTGGGAGAGTCTATCCACCCTTGGAAGCTTTTCATCCTTACACAGGATTCAGTGTCCTCCAGGCCGCAACCAGCCCTCATAAAAATGAGAGACTGAATTTCTAAGGCTTGTAATGCTCCTCTAAGATCCTAATCTTTAGGAGACCAGGAAATGTAGACTGTACAAAAAAAAGAAGTTGCCTGATTTGCACAATGTATATAGAATTGTCTGTATTGACGATATACAATTGGGGATATAAAGTAGATTTGTAGGTAACAGAGTCTTATTTGTCTAACATGACTCCAAGGACACAATGATACACAAGACAACCCTGGACTGGCAAAAATAGAATACCAGAGCCCCCTGCATTGTCCCCTGGCACATTCCCTTTTGTTTCAGAAGAAACTGCCCTCTCTGACACCTCCTGTTCCCCATCACTTCTTTACTACAGTATAGGCCTCTGAGCCATACCTCATAGTCAACAGAGATCCCGTTAGGCCAGCTGATGCTGGTGTTGATAAGGACCACACGCTCTGTCCCATCCAACCGGGAACGCTCAATGCGAGGATACTGGCCCCACTCTGTCCAAAAGAGATACCTGAAAAAGAGGAAACAAGCCACTGCCATAACAGAAAGTGGGTCACCTCTTTAGCTGAGCAGTTCAATCTGTTTCTGTTGGTGTTTCTTATTCAGAATTTTATTGTCTTTTTCCTCCAAGGAGCTCAGCAGAAGAGGGCTCTCCTCCCTCTCTATTTATTTCCCAGAAAAACTCTGCAAAGAAGCTTAGGCTACTATAGTCTGATGTCACCCAGGGAATGTCATTGCTGAGTAAGGAGTTGAGACTGGATCTCCTTGGTTCTTGTCCAACATCTTAACCACTGTGCCACAGTGGGTCTCCATGTCCACTATTAGAGGACCACACTGACAGACAGTTGGGATCATCATAGACCAACACACTGCAGACTGGAATTCAATATTGCTTGGTATCACTCAGAATAGACTGAAGGAATGAAGCTATAGATACACATGGGCAGTGACAACTCAACCAGACACCCTTCCTGGAACTGGGAACAAACTAAATGGATCCAGCATCTGTGCAAGATCTACCACCAGTACCTAGGAGACTTGTCTTCTCCCTGTTCCAAGCTATCAGCCTCTAGGTGCCTCCAAGAAATGCACACCCTCAGCTTGTTCTTGTCACAGTAATTGGCCTCACAGTCTAACAATTCCCATTCCTTATAACCGACTCTTACCCCTTCTCTGGGTGCACAGTGATGGCACGTGGCTTGTCTAGGCCCTGTGAGATCACTACATAGCGAAATGAACCATTGAGCCTGGCCACCTCAATGACATCAAAACCCTGGTCTGTCCAATAGATGTTTCCTGAAGGAAAGAGATGAAAAGAATTGTTACTTCATTATTTCTTCATCTCTCCCTTCCTGCACCATTATTTCAGAGTGATTCCAACTCCACACCACCTTACCTGCGATCCAATCAACAGCAATGCCTTCCACCCGGCCAATGCCATTGGTCACTACATCCTCTCTCCAGGTCTGGTCCCGTTTGGCCCGACTTATGGTACTCAGGCCCATGTCCACCCAATAGATGGTGTCATTGGCTGTGAAAGGAAAAGAAGCTCATTTACACCAAGGAGTTCAGGGTGATGACATACAGTATGACTTCAGGAGAACTGAAGCCTCCTGCAACAATGACAACCAGCATCCATTATGCTCATAAGCGGCCTGCCTGTTCCCATCCCAGCTCTCACAAGGTCACTTGAAACAACAAAAAGAAACAAAATTCTTTTTCCAAAATAATGAAAACCTAAAAATAGATTCACTAAACGTCGATGGCATCACCTGGTTAGATCAGCAGGACAAATAGAGGAAAGGCACAGAAACTCAGTGTGTCATGACACAAGAACATTCTAACTCTCATCATCAGTAGAATGACCACTAGCAACACTTCTGACTCACTGTAGCACCAGGCTTTCATTATATATGCCATTCTAAAACCATCTCTAGTGTCTTCCAATCAATGTTGAATAATGTTGATGCCACATTAGCTTCTGTTCTGTTCTAAGATTCTGAATAAGGATGGCTGCTCAAAGACTGCCACCAAGAAAAACCTTCTTCCTAAGCATTTATTTGTATCATTTTTAGTTTTATTTTTGGCAGAATCCTGTCTTAGTGAAAGGTCCTAAACGAATGTGAATGCCAGCATAGTACAGCCATATTTGCTTAGAGTGCTATTCTAACATGAAACAGTGGCCAACTGGGCTGCAGCCCCACCCCCCAGCCAAGAATCATATCTAATACAGTTCCTTGTGACATGACCTAGATATGACATCTAATTAGGTGTAACTTTCTTCCTTGGAGGGTCATGGCTGGCATCAGCTGACCAGGGGACATCAACCTAATATAATCTAGTCCCCTCTCGCTGTGCTCCTGCTCAGAATACTGCCTCCTTTAGCTGCTTATCTCTTAGCTGAGAAAATGCTACTCAGCTGCATAAGACTGCTCAAGCTCAGCTTGGACAGACAGCATCCACACCAAACAAACAGGAAGAGCCCAAACATGGCTCTACAGATACCCTTCGACTTCAGTACCTAAAATGCCCTTCATAGAGGAGTTGTCTTTCTATCCCTCTGCTTCTAAAGAACTCACAGGGCTAACCCATTCCATGTATTCAACACCTACCAGCATGGAAATCGATGCCCACTGCCAGTGAAGTTCCAGAGACTGGCACCAGTGCATCAGACTTGTCATTGGGATCCAGCGGGATGCCTCGGATACCCTCATGCACTGAATAGAGAAGGAAAGAGCCAACACCTGTATGGAAAAAAAGAGTGTGTGAAATCAAAGCACTTGAAATGGGACAAAACCCAGTAGCAAAGTCCATGTGTTGCATGAGGAATGAGTAACACATGGTCCTCGTTGTGTGTAGATGAACATTGCCATTACTGCCACTCAGAGTTGACCAGCCTTCACCCATCTGGGTCCCACCCGCCCCTCGCACCCGATTTGGCCTGTAACTCCCCCTCGCCTCCAACAGCATGACCAAAGTTCACGGATGTCGGGACATATAGGCCATGTTCAAAAGGTATGGAACAGGTAAAGTTCTAACTCTGCGTAAGTTCAAAAGGAAAATGGGCAGGGCTGTATAGTTTGGTGCCTGACATGTCTTTGCATGGAGAATTCCAACGTTTAAGTCTTGCTAAATGGAGCTCAAACAGGTGTCTTGGGTTCTGCTGAAGCAATGATGGATAAGGAGGACTGAGTATAGGACTTCTGATGCAGTGTAAGGCAGCTTCATTTCTTCTAATCAACAATGGATAATACCACTTGTATGTAGCATTTTGCACATATTAACTTAGTAATGCCAAAACCAGCCAGTACGCAGCGGTTTTGCCTAGAAAGTTTCTGAGGTGCACATAGACTTTTTTTCAATGTCCAACATGGAAGGAGACAAAACATAAATTTAGCAGCATAATTCAAGCAAGCCAAAAGGTGTCTCAGGACACCTTTGGGTTTCTTTCTGTCACAACACACTGACACAGCTGTGTGTGTGTGTTTAGTCGTTTAGTAGTGTCCGACTCTTCGTGACCCCATGGACCAGAGCACGCCAGGCCCTCCTGTCTTCTACTGCCTCCCGGAGTTGTGTCAGGTTCATGTTGGTTGCTTCGCAGACACTGTCCAGCCATCTCATCCTCGGTCGTCCCCTTCTCCTCTTGCCATCACACTTTCCCAACATCAGGGTCTTTTCCAGGGAGTCTTTTCTTCTCATTAGATGGCCAAAGTACTGGAGCCTCAGCTTCAGGATCTGTCCTTCAAGTGAGCATTCAGGGTTGATTTCCTTTAGAACTGATAGGTTTGTTCTCCTTGCAGTCCAGGGGATTCTCAAGAGTCTCCTCCAGCACCACAATTCAAAGGCATCAATTCTTCGGCGGTCTGCTTTCTTTATGGTCCAGCTCTCACTTCCATACATCATGACAGGAAAAACCATAGCTTTGACTATTCGGACTTTTGTTGGCAAGGTGATGTCTCTGCTTTTCAAGATGCTGTCAAGATTTGTCATCGCTTTCCTCCCAAGAAGAAGGCGCCTTTTAATTTCAGGGCTGCTGTCTCCGTCTGCAGTGATCATGGAGCCCAGGAAAATAAAATCTGTCACTGCCTCCATGTCTTCCCCTTCTATTTCCCAGGAGGTGATTGGACCAGTGGCCATGATCTTAGTTTTTTTGATGTTGAGTTTCGGACCGTTTTTTGCACTCTCCTCTTTCACTCTCATTACAAGGTTCTTTAATTTCTCCTCACTTTCTGCCATCAGAGTGGTATCATCTGCATATCGGAGGTTGTTGATATTTCTTCCGGCAATCTTAATTCCGGCTTGGGTTTCTTCCAGTCCAGCCTTCCGCATGATGTATTCTGCATATAAGTTAAATAAGCTGGGGGACAATATACAGCCTTGCCGTACTCCTTTCCCAATTTTGAACCACTCAGTTGTTCCATGACCAGTTCTAACTGTTGCTTCCTGTCCCGCAGTACAGCTACCTTGCCACAAATATCTCAGATAGAGAGAGTCAAGTTGGATGCATAAATGGGGTTTCAGCAAAGCCAAGCCACTACACTACCCCACAGAGCTTGAAACACTCTCTGGGGGATCTACAATTGCATTACGCAGGCTACACATTGCTCCCCCCAGCAAGCTGAGTACTCAGTTTACGAGCCTTGGAAGGATGAATCAACTTTGAGCAGGCTACCTCAGCCCACTGGGATGAAACTCAGGTCGAGAGCAAAGTCTTGACGTAGTACTGCAGTAAGCCTTGGAAGGACGAATCAACTTTGAGCGGGCTACCTGAGCCCATTGGGATGAAACTCAGGTTGAGAGCAAAGTCTTGACGTAGTACTGCAGTTTAACCACTGGGCAGTGAGACTCCTATGGTAACCAATTTTGCTACCACATAATCTACAGACAATTCCATTATCTGCACCAAATCAAGAGCACCTGTAGTGCCAGGACTAACTGCTTTCAACATTTGTAAGCCACCAACTGAAGCTATGACGCATTGTGCAGGTATGGAGAGCAACACAGATCTCCAGATGTGTGTCACAACAGGTGCAGGCCACGCTCCACAAAGCATATGCGAGCCCATGGACAACTATTCACCTTCACAGGACTGCTGGCCACTTTTTAGGCTGTAGCCAGCTGTACACATGCAGGATCGAGTCGTCTCTGAGGTTGGGAGGCACAGCTGAGAGCAGTCACCATTGTTCACACTGCAAGGGTTGGTACCTGCAACAACCAAGGTTCAATCATGAAAATGGATGCAGAATCAAGACAGTTTCGGTTTTGTTCTGCCTCGTGATCCCTGACATAACCACTCGGTTTCAGCACCAAATCTGCAAAGATCACAGCGTGATCCCTGATACAGTATAACCACTCAGTTTCAGCACCAAATCTGCAAAGATCACAGGGCAGGGGATGGATTGTATGGACCAGCAAGAAGATATGTGTACCATGAACCTTGCGTGGTATTAACAAATAGTTATGATGGCAAAAATTCTAGCAGGCCCAGCTTCTTTGGAATCTGCTAGGAAGTTGATACTGCCTACTCCTAATCAAACAGCCCTACAATAGGGCCTGATATGAGGTATACAGACCACAGATGCTTCTGACTATTTTTGCAGCTCCTGCAATAATTCCACAGCTGCCAGATTTTGCTGGCCAATGCAGACAGGGCAACAGGTATATCTTCAGTATAAATCAAGGTGTCTCGAGAACAAAGAGTTTGTTTTAAAGTGTCCCCCCCCCTTGCTCTCATGCCACTGAAATCTGGTCATGGCAGCAGAGGTTGTCCATAGTCTCTGATAGGTTTGGGGGCCTCAATTCACAAACTTCCATCCATCAAAATGCCATCCCAGATGCAAAGGTATCAAACCATATTGTGGTTCACAAGTGGAAACAATCATCCAAGCTTTCCTATGATGTTACTATATGCCCTCCTCTTCCCATAAGCACCTGCAACTCACAGCTACTCATTATAGCCAGCGCACCGAATAGCTCACCATGCTGCTGGATGCTCTCATCATAGATCTTCATGTGCATCACTAGGGTGGTGCTGTTGCGCAGCACAGTGGCTTCTGTCCCATCCTTCTTATTGCAGGTGCCCACTTTTTCTGAGGCTTGGTCAGCCCACCATAACTTATCACCTAGAACAGACAGGAATTTCCAGATGTGTGAGGGAACAGAGATGACACTCCTGACCCTCTAGGGTTTGCAGCAACCACTGCAAAATATCACTAAGGATCATAACATTCCTCAGAATCTCTGGTCTAAAGACAATGGCTTATTTCAATTTCAACTCATCAACTCCTGGCCTAGCATTTTGCTGTGTTGGTTTCAACTTTCATTTATTCAGATTTGGACTCTGAGCCAATGTTTTCCTGTTTGAATTTTAGGACTCATGCTGCCTCTTTTTATGATCTTTGATTGTCAACTGCCCAGAGGACAGTACTAATTTGGTGGCACACAACTGATGAAAACAATGTAAGTGACGGCTAAATGGAAGATCCACAAAGAGAGAGACAAATCTTCTGTGTGCCAAATGCTGGGGAAAAACAATTATGGCTGCCACCTCATTAAAGAAGATTGATTAATCAAGTGCAGTTTAATCTACCAAATTTTATCTCTAAAATAATAGTTTGGAGGGTAATGAGCACACAGCTTTTTTTTTAGAAAAGACAGATTTTACTGAAATTCACTAGCTAGTTTGCTAGAATGGCAGAGAAAGGGAGTTTTTGTTTGTTTTAAATCACACTGTTTTACTTTAAGATGAAATTTATTTCCCTCTTTGGTTTCAGATGATACTTGAATACAGCACACTGCAGCCTCCTCAAGATTACTGTACCCTGTGTAAAAAAGACAATGCCTGTAAAAAAGACAATGCCTGCAATTTACAGGATTTTAAGAAGTGTTTATTTTTAAAATGATCAACATTTACAGAAAAGATGGGTGGGGAAAACATGGTCTTCCCTAGGTTGTTGAACTGTAATTTCCATTGTTCTTCACCAGAAGCTGCAATCCAATAATATTTACACACACACACACACACACTGAGACTGCCACAAGTATAGTTCCAAGAATAAAATCTAGAAAGACTCTTACAACCAAACTTGTTTGAAAGGGGAAAAAAATAACACTTCAGCGAATGAAATGTGTCTTTATCTGAGCTGGTAACATGTCCTAATAGTTCCCCTGTGGAAGCTTCTAAAGCGACAGTGATTCCTTGGAGCACTTCATGTCATTAAATTGCAAGCAGCAAAGGAGCCCAGATGGTTAGCGTTACACTGCTATTAAAAGCTAAAGTCTCAAGGTCTGAGTAGCAATCGCAATATATTCTATATCTTCTGCGTTCCTTGGAACTCTATAGAAGGGATGTCTGGTGAGCTTGGTGACAAGAGACAAGGATGAGAAGGGCAAGCAAAGCCTAAATAATTAAATACCATTCCTTTTGCTGGCTATATAGGAAATGTTTGTTTTCTCTCTGCTGATCTGTTCCTACCAGCTTCACTCAGGCTTACATTTTTAGATGGGCACCCCTCTCTCTCTCTCTCTCTCTCTCTCTCTCTCTCTGTGTGTGTGTGTGTGTGTGTGTGTGTGTGTGTGTGTGTGTAAACGTTGGCCTATTAAATAAGGATTCCTTTTGCCCTACAGAAACGGTTTGCATAATTGAACGAACTGATTAACGTTATCAGATTTAAAACAAGAAAGGGTTGGCCATGAACTTTATGTTGGACTGATGCCTGGCCAGTGATGTCTGGGAGGCTGCTGTTGCAAAAACAATATTATAGTGATGAGGAACCCGTCGCCTTCCAGAGATGATGTTGGATTCCAAATGCCATCGGCCCCTACAGCATTACCAGTGGACAGAAACCATGGGGCTCATCAGGCAGGACAGCCACGCTTTCTCTACTTCTGGAGTACAGGACCAGAAAGGCTTTTGGGCTGTTCAGACCTCAATCCAGACTTCTGGTTCACCAGGCAGTTCCCTGAAACTGCTGCACAAAACAGAGGCTCACACTTGGTGGTGCTTGCTCTTTGCTTTTTGTGTTGTCAAAAAAGGAAATGAAAAAAGAAACAGAAAGAAAGAAAATAGACTCCCATGCTAAAACTATACTAGAAAGTCATACAAATAACCTTAAATAGCTGTCTTTATAAGTAATCATCGGTATAAAGACAGCTATTCGAATTTCATAACATCTTGGATAGCACCAATGTCGTCCTTCCAGTTTTAAGAGAAATAACACAATACATTAATTATGCAAATTAAAGCCTCAAAAGAGTCTGTGGAGTCCTTTCTCATTAGAAAACCTGAGGAAAGATATTAATGTGTAGCATTTTAATTTGAAGAAAACCATCTATTAAAATTCAAGTACAAAATTCCCAGAAATGTTGATACCATGAAAACCACCCCTGTCCCAATTTTTTCCCGGGACAGGCATAGAAAATATGCAACGTGTATTTTTAGCACCCTTTAAATCTCTTTAAAACACTTTATTACTTTAGCAATGTAAAATGCATCCTGTATAACGTTATTCTTCTCAATTCATTACGCTTGGTATATTAAATGTAAAGCAGTTTATCCAGGCAATGATTACAAATACGGTAATTTAATGTACCTTTAAACATTGCAAATGTTTGTTTTAATAGAACCATAAACTCCTAGACTCTAAGAATACTAGGTTCTCTGTTTTAAGAACATCAGACATAAAGTTGAAGACAAGAGAAAAAAAAATCAAGATTATAGTAAAACTAGAGAAACTATAAGGTATTGCATACATATTGATATAAATATTGCTTCCTTTCCTAGTGAAAAGGCAGCATCAATGCATTTTTTAATTTCAGAGTGATTACCCAACTGTGTGGGTGGGGGAGGTCTTTGCTTGTTTTATTTTCCCAGGTGTGAACAAAAAAATTCAAATGTTTCCTCCCTACTACAGATGAGATTACAAAAATTTTTGTTAATTTTTCATAGTTTGGGACTTCTTTTGTGAAGCATTTGCAAAAGTGGTTTACACACAAAATACAATCTTCTAATGCAAAATTCAAAGTTTGTGGTTCAGAAGCACTTTTTTGGGGGACTAATAATAAATGGTGATGAAAAAAGAACTCATCTTTTCCCTCTCAAAAGGAGTGAAAAATCTTGCGGCAGTTAGTTGTTTTTTTTTAATTGGACACATATCCATTTTTTCATAAGGGGTGTGAAAAATCTATGAGTGTTTTGTTATATTTTTATCCAACTGTAATGATGTGGTGAAGAGAAAAGAGTAATGTAATAGCTTGATAATTTTACACAGTGTCACAAAGAAATCTTCATTTTACATAGTTTTGTATCTGTCAGCTCTCTGCCATCTCAGGATAGTTACCGTAATTACTAAACAAAAATAGTTCAAATGAGTGATGTCAGGCTTCCCAAGATATGTCTAAGCTAACAGATGCAGAACACTTCCAAGGAATCTTATTTGTTTTCCTTCTTAATGCTGCTTTCAAAGTTAGGTCTTAGTATGGAGACTGTAAACGTGTCTATTTTCAGTATGAGAAATGCTTTCTAACAAAGAATATGAGACATCAGAGCACAGTTAGACATAGTTGACCTCTCCTTTGTGCAATGTACGAAACGATCAACAAGGGTGAAAACCAATTTCAGGGGAAAAAAGACTTATTTTTCCCAAGGCTGTATATAAAAGCTTTTACTCGTCTTTGGTCTTAGCAAATAGACACAATGAGGCAACAAGGAAGAATTCAGGGCATTGCAGCACAAGAGATTTTGCAATAGTAGGGCAAACTATTTACGATACTGATATTTATAGTCCAGCAATGGAGAACATTATTTCTTCCCATTTCTTGACCACATGCGAGAGAGTGGAAGGTCAAGAAGAAACCGAATTAAAAGTGTAATCAGTTTGTGACACAGAGGGTTGCCTTCTTTGAGGTCAAAGTGGCTAGTCTTAGGAAAACAGAAGAATAAAAAAATATTTAAATGAGCCATGTAATAGTTTTTATTCCAAGCAGGCTTTTATTGGAGCTATAAATGTTTATTTTATTAAAATTAACTAAAATGCATTTCCTGTTTTAAATATTCTACTATTTTAATTTTTTATTTTAAACAATAATGTCAAGTTTTTAGATTTGAGTTTTTACTGCTATTTCTGTTTTTAACACGTATTTATTTTATCAGAAGACTTATTCAGTGGCTCTTACCCATGATAGCCAAGGCTGTGGCTTTGCGCAACTGGTTCTTCATGGTCTCTAACACTTCCAAGCCACTGCCATCCAAGTTGCACCTCTTGATGGTACCGTTGCCAGAGCTGATCCAGTACAGCTTGCTTTCCTGGTAGTCAATGGAGAGCCCTGAAACCGAAACATCGTTATTCTAACCTGGAGGAGATACCACAGTACCACTGACACAGATCAGCAAATGTTGCATACAGGCTTATGAGCATAAACTGATGCCAACACCCACACTTTTGTCAATGTGGTTCTGAAAACTGCAGAGTATGTGCAGTTCTCCATGGCAGAACCACATGCATGACTATGATGATCACACTGTGGGTATTCCATTTGTGTTTGTATACTCCTTGTTCTTAGATTTAATATTGCCTTTTTATGATGTAAGGAGCCTCTTTATATTCATTGTTCTTAGGTTTAAACATTGTCTTTTAATGTTCTTAACCACCATTGTATACTCATTGTTTTCAATTTAAAACAATTTTAAATACAGTGGTGCCTCGACTTACAAACGTCCCAACTTACGACCATTTCGAGTTGCGACCAGCTCTGGCTGCAAAATTTTGCTTCGACTTGCAGCCAGAGCTTTGAGTTGCGAATGGAAAAAAGGCAGGGGGAAAAAGGTGAGGAATTCAAATTTGCTAACAGTTGGTAGGTGAAGAGGCTGCTTCTTTGTAGCTCTTTCGCCCCAAGGGTTAAAGTGAGTGTGTTGCAGGAGACTTGGGACTGCCTGGAGCTGTTTTCTGCTCCTGAGTAAGTACATTTACTTTGTTTTGTAGGGTGGGTTTGGGTTTGGGGGGGTGTTTATGTTTCTGTGCTGTTATGTTTTTTTGTGTTTTGGTGTGTTTTTCCCCCAGCCCCATTGTGTTCGGGCCGGCTGTATGTATGTGTCTGGGGGGGTATTTTTGTGTTTTTGTTCCCAGCCCCATGGCATTCCGATGGGGGCTGGCTGTGTATTTTTGGTTTTGGTAAAAAAAAATTGGCCCCTACGGTTCTGATGGGGCTTGCATTTTTTGGGGTGGTGGTGGTTTGGTAATTTTTTTCCAGCCCCAGCTCATTCCTATGGGGCTTGCAGTGTTTTATTGTAATTTTATTTTATCCCCCCCCCCCTTTTCTGGAATGGATTACTGGCAATCAAATGCTTTCTT